CTCGGGGTCGTCGACGTCGAGTGGAACAGGAGGAGGTATTTCCGCAACTGTTGGAAGCGGTGTGTCTGGTGCTGGCGGAGCGATATTGCTTACTGCTGGAGCTAGCAGCGCTGCTGCGGGCGGTCAGGCAGCCTTGGTTGGTGGAGTTGGAACTGTCGGTGGCGTTGCTCAGTTGACCGGTGGTTCTGGCACCGCTGGAGCAGGTGGAAATGTTGTGCTGCTCTCTGGAGTTGGAGCAAGTCCTGCTATCAGTGGCGACGTTGTGTTAAGCGCAGCTGCGGCAGGACTCAGCGGAACGATTGTATTGGCCACTGGAGCTGCCAACGCTGGCGCTGGAGGAAGCATTCGAGCGTCGGTTGGTGTTGGGGCCAGCGGAACCGGTGGTGATATCACTCTGTCAAGTGGAAACTCAGTTGTCGGCGGTGCGCTGGATTTCACGAGTGGAAGCTCAAGCGCAGGAGCGTCCGGCGCTGTGTCATTGAAATCAAGTGTATCCACGGGGGGAGACTCGGGCTCGGTCGGTCTGAGGACTGGCGTGTCCACTGGTGGCAAAGGTGGTGCGATAACAATGTCTGTCGGGGCTGGAAACACTGGCACTGGCGGCGAAGTGTCGGTGACATCTGGCGAAAGCTCTGCCGCTGCTGGTGGAAGAGTCTCCATTACTGGAGGGGCTGGTGTAGTTGGCGGTCAAGTTCAATTGATCGGTGGGGCTGGCTCCAATGGGAATGGTGGTGGAATTGCAATCACCGGCGGCGCAGGCAGTGGTGCAACTTCGACAAGTGGAGACATTGCCGTAAGTTCTGTCAGCGGAAGTACCAGCGGCTCAATTGCTCTCACCTCTGGGGACACAACCGCCGGCCCTGGGGGCTCGATTAGCCTCTCAGTCGGAGTCGCCACACTTGGCACTGGTGGAGCGGTGTCGCTATCCAGCGGAAAAGGAGTTGTTGGAGGCGTGTTGACTGCCACAAGTGGTGCGTCGACTGGCGGAGCGTCTGGAGCAGTCAACATCGCCTCAAGTGCTTCAACCGGTGGAAATTCTGGACTTGTGACAATATCGGCTGGCGTCGCAACGGGTGGTACCAGTGGCGGCGTGGCCATCTCAAGCGGAAGCGGAGCAACAGGCCTCGGTGGCGCAATCACACTTACCGCGGGAGCTAGTGCCGATCAAATTGGCGGGAAGACATCGCTCTTTGGTGGCAGCGGAACTACAACCGGGGGCAATGTCGAAGTGTCTGGTGGAGCTGGCCAAACCAGTGGCGGCAGTATTGTTTTGACCGGCGGAACGGGCTCATCTGGAACCGGTGGAAATATTGCATTGACTACGGGATTGAGCTCGTCGTTGGGGTTGACTGGCAGTATCGCGTTGAATTCTGCCGCTGGCGTAACAAGTGGTGCAGTCCAGCTGACTACAGGCACTGCGTCGAATGGCCCGGTTGGAGCAATCCGCCTTACGGTTGGAACCGGCACAGTTGGAACCGGTGGTGCAATCAGTTTGTCCGGCGGGGCAGCTGCTGTCGGCGGAGCTGTCACATTAACTAGCGGAGCCTCGACGGCAGGTGCATCTGGATCAATCGCGTTGTCATCTGCGGCAGCGACCGGTGGTTCCACTGGAAGCATTCGATTAACCACTGGAACATCAGCTTCAGGTGGCACTGGAGGCGACATAACGGGACTCGTTGGCAATGGTGTCGCCGGGGCTGGAGGAGCTGTCACGTTTACAGCTGGCATCAGTTCTGCCTCAACGGGTGGAAAGAGTTCCATCGTTGGTGGACAAGGCACTGTCGGCGGCAACGTGGAGTTGACAGGCGGCGCTGGTTCTTGGTCCTCTGGCGGTAACATCAACTTGCTGACTGGCGCTGGTGGCTCCAACTCCGTAAGTGGCGCGGTGTCTGTCAGCACTGCCGCAAGTTCAACCAGTGGAGCGATTCAGCTGAGATCTGGTGCTGGCTCGAGTGGGCCCGGGGGGGCAATCACCTTGACGGTTGGTGCTGGCACAGCTGGAACCGGGGGAAACATTGGCCTAACCAGTGGTGCTGGCGTTGTTGGAGGGTCCATTGGGCTGACCACTGGAACGTCTACGAATGGAGCGTCGGGAGCCGTGACCATTGGAACTGGCGCTTCTACTGGTGGGACATCGGGAACAGTTGCCATAACAAGCGGAAGCTCCACTGCTGGTGGAACTGGCGGCGGTATCTCTGCGACTGTGGGCAACGGCCTCGTTGGCGCAGGTGGTTCCGTCACATTCACTGCCGGTGCAAGCTCCGCCAGCACCGGGGGGAAAGTGTCTGCAGTGAGTGGAAGTGGAACAGTTGGCGGAAACGTCGAGCTCACTGGTGGTTTTGGCTCCAACTCAAATGGTGGAAGCATCCAACTCCTTACCGGAGCAGGTGCCTCAGCCTCCACAAGTGGTTCAGTTACAATTGCGTCTGCTGCAAGCAGTAACTCTGGCGCAATCCTGCTTCAAACGGGAGCAGGAAGTGGCGGTGCCGCCGGAACAATCGGGCTTTCCGCCGGCTCGTCAAGCACTGGGACGGGAAGTGCTGTCAGTATCAAGAGCGGCGATGGAGTTGCGGGCGGAGGTGTCCAATTATCAAGTGGCGCATCCTCTGCAGGAATCTCCGGGGGAATATCTCTTTCATCAACGACATCTGCAGGTGGTAATTCTGGTGCTATAGCCCTCGTGACCGGTGCTGCTGCTGGGGGTAAAGCAGGCGATGTGTTGGCGACTGTTGGCAGTGGTGACACTGGAAATGGTGGAAATATCGTTCTCACTGCTGGTGGTAGCGCCGCTGCCACTGGTGGAAAAGCCAGTGTTGTTGGTGGCTCTGGTAACATCGGTGGCGCTGTCGAATTGACCGGTGGAGCTGGTGCAACGACGATCGGTGGAAGTCTGACACTGCTTAGTGGTGTTGGGGCGACGGCTAGCGGGAATTTTAATGCTGGAACTGCTTCTGGTACCACCTCTGGATCGGTATCGCTCACCACTGGAGCTGCATCGAATGGAGTCAGTGGCGGCATTGCTTTGTCAGTTGGCACTGGCACCGCTGGTATTGGCGGTGCAATTTCCCTGTCAAGTGGTGCATCTGTTACCGGTGGTGCCATCTTAATGACAAGTGGAAGTGCCACTGGCGGCGCATCTGGCGCCATTGTGCTGTCAACTAGCTCTGCAGTGGGCGGTAATGGCGGAGATGTTTCTATCTTGTCGGGACCGTCCACAAGCGGTGGCACTGGCGGTGGAATTGTCGCCACAGTTGGCAATGGTGTCACTGGAACGGGTGGATCCATTGTTCTAACGGCTGGGCTCAGTTCGTCTGCAAATGGCGGCGACATCACTCAAGTTGGTGGGGTTGGTTCGATTGGCGGCAATGTTGCGATCACCGGTGGCCTTGGAAATGTCGGTGTCGGTGGCACCGTCGCTGTTACCGGTGGTGTCAGCAGCTCTGCAACCGGTGGTGCTGTTGTCTTAACAAGTGGCGTTGGAGCCACGACTGGCAGAGTCAACTTGAAAACCGCAAGCGGTGTTGCCAGCGGTGCGATTCAACTCTCCACCGGAACCAGTTCATCTGGCCCAGGGGGCGCCATTACCATGAGCGTTGGTGTTGGCAGCTCAAGTGCTGGAGGCGATTTTACAATTCAAAGCGGCAATTCTGTTGCTGGTGGATCTGTTTTCGTTACCAGTGGGTCCTCAACCGGTGGCGTGTCTGGCGGTATCACCGCTGCCACAAGTACTGCAACCGGTGGAAATTCTGGGCAAATTACGATTGCATCAGGATCATCCGCCAGTGGTGGAACCGGAGGAAACGTTGTGATGTCCGTTGGAACCGGCGTCGTTGGCACGGGAGGCCAAATTCGTTTGAGTGCAGGGACTTCTGTAGCTGGTGGACCGATTTCTCTTTTGAGCGGTTCCTCCACTGCTGGAAATTCTGGGTCAATCTCGATTACCACAAGCACAGCGGTTGGTGGCGCATCGGGTGGCATCACGTTGTCGACAAGTGGTGTGACTGGCGGAACAACCGGGTCCATTGCTGCTTCGGTTGGAACGGGCACGTCCGGGACTGGTGGTTCAGTGTCACTTGCTGCTGGTGGCTCGGTTGTTGGTGGAGCCATCAGTCTCTTGAGTGGACTTGCTACTGGCGGGGCATCCGGTACCATCTCAATGTCGACCAATACCGCAGCCGGCGGAAACACAGGGGCCATCTCCCTGTCGACCGGAACTTCCACTGGAGGAATTGGTGGTGGAATTTCAGCCACAGTCGGCCTGGGCACCGTTGGTACCGGGGGTAGTCTTGCCTTCACCGCTGGTGGGTCGGCTGTTGGAGGACCTGTTTCGCTGCGCAGTGGAGCGTCTACAGCTGGCGCGTCTGGTGCGATTGCACTGTCCACTAGCACTGCTGCTGGAGGCGCATCTGGCGCGGTTCAAATATCCACTGGAGTTTCTTCTGGAGGTGCCGGTGGTGGAATCTCTGGAAACGTTGGCAGCGGCTCTGTTGGAACTGGTGGTTCTGTCGCCTTCGTTGCTGGTGCCGCTCCTTTTGGCGGTGCTGTGTCCTTACTCAGTGGCGCATCAACTGCAGGTGCTTCAGGAGCTGTTTCGTTAACCTCGAGTGCTGCTGTTGGTGGAAGTTCCGGAGCGATCAGCTTTTCAAGTGGTGCGTCCACTGGAGGAACGGGTGGTGCCATTTCTGCGTCTGTCGGAAATGGTGCAAGTGGCACTGGTGGTGGGGTATCCCTCTTAGCAGGATCTGCGCCAACGGGAGGGGTCCTGGCATTGTCTAGTGGATCGTCCAGCGCTGGGGATTCTGGCGCGTCGACTCTGACAACTGGAGCCTCTGTTGGTGGAAACTCTGGTGATATTTCGCTGCTCTCGGGCGGGGCCACAGGGGGCAACGGTGGCAAATTGGCGTTGTCGGTTGGCTCGGGCGATACTGGCACTGGAGGAAAACTCCAATTGTCAGCCGGGTCAGCTCCCGTCGGTGGTGCTCTGCAACTGACGTCTGGTCCGTCTAGTGCCGGTATCTCTGGCAGTGTAGAAATTTCTTCCGCCGCTGCGTCAGGTGGCTCATCTGGTACCATAACTCTTGGAACAGGAGTCACGGACACTGCCACAGGTGGCAGCGTGTCCATTCAGGTCGGCGGAGGTGTCAGTGGCACGGGTGGATTGATCTCGCTGACCGCCGGTGAAAACGTTGTTGGTGGCGATATCACTCTGCTCACAGGGCCATCTTTGGCCGGTGCGTCTGGTGCAATTTCATTGTCGACAAATACGGCAGTCCAAGGGAGCTCCGGACCGGTCCATGTATCGACGGGACTTGCAAACGATGCAGCTGGCGGAGCCATTCGCTTATCCGTTGGCAACGGCGGCGTCGGCGTTGGTGGACAAATTTCAGTTACAAGTGGAAAAGGTGTCATCGGTGGTGCCACATCAATTACAAGTGGAGCTTCTACTGGCGGCGCATCAGGCAGTGTCAGTCTGAAGTCAAGTGACGCTATCGGGGGCAGCTCTGGCACCGTTGAGATTGCGTCCGGGTTGTCGAATTCGGCGGCGGGGGGCGACATCTCCATGTTGGTTGGCACTGGCTCAAGTGGAAGTGGTGGTGCCATTCTGTTGACTGCTGGGCAATCCGTCACGGGTGGGGCCATTCAGGTGACCAGTGGAGCATCTACAGGCGGTGATTCTGGAAGCATTGCTATGTCTACGAGCAACTCCGCCGGAGGTAACACCGGTGCCATTTCCTTGACAACTGGCACTGCAAACGGTGGTCGGGGTGGCAGTTTGGCCTTGGCTGTTGGGTCGTCCGTTGCTGGTACGGGAGGCTCTGTCACTGTGACTTCTGGATCTTCTGTTACTGGTGGTGCAATGACTCTTCGAACTGGCGCATCGACGGCTGGTCAATCTGGCGCAATTACATTGTCTACAAGCAACTCAGTTGGCGGGCCTTCTGGCACTGTTACAATTTCGACTGGTGCGGCTACTGTTGGCGGCACAGGTGGCTCAATCATTGCTTCAGTCGGCAGCGGCGTATCTGGTGTTGGTGGTCCAATTACACTAACGGCAGGGTCCAGCACAGTGTCAACTGGAGGCAAAGCATCCATGACAGCTGGTCTTGGTCTGGCCGGGGGAAATGTTGAGTTATCTGGTGGCGCCGGAGGTATCAATGCTGGCGGTCAAGTCATATTGACAGGAGGTGCGAGCACCACTGCAGTTGGCGGTGGAATAGCGCTCTCCAGTGGCGCCGGCGCATCTGCTTCAACAAGTGGTGCAATTGCATTGAGCACTGTTGGCTCCAGTACTTCTGGAGCAATTTCACTCAATACGGGTGCCGGCAGTGCCGGGCCAGGAGGCAGTATTAGCTTGTCCGTTGGGGCAGGCACCGCGTCCACTGGCGGCAGTGTTTCGATTCGAGGGGGGACATCAGTTACTGGTGGGCCAATTTCGCTTCTCACAGGCTCATCAACAGCTGGAGGATCCGGTGGCGTATCGATTGGTACCGCTGCGGCTACTGGTGGCAATTCTGGCAGCATTTCGTTGCTCTCTGGCGCCTCCACGGCGACTGGTCAAGGTGGCGATATCATTGCAGCAGTTGGAAGCAGTGTGGTTGCGACAGGCGGTGCAGTGGCATTGACTGCTGGAAGCACAACCGCTTCGTCGTCAACTGGCGGGAGGCTTTCCTTGCTTGGGGGCCAAGGTTCGTCCGGTGGCGGCGTGGTTCTGAACGGCGGCATTGGACAAACAAACGTCGGTGGCGCCGTCACGTTGTCATCCGGATCAAGTCTGACGTCGACTGGGGGTGACATAAGCCTTGTAAGTGGTTCCGGCGCTGCAAGCGCGTTCAGTGGTAGAATCACCCTATCAACCACTTCTGCCAGTACGAGCGGAGCTATTATTCTGAGTACTGGCGCAGGTTCCACTGGTGGTGGTGGTGCCATTGCTATCTCCGTCGGTACGGGAACAGCCGGAACCGGTGGATCACTTGCGCTCAAGAGTGGTGACAGCGTTGTTGGTGGTGCCATCTCCGTCTTGAGTGGAGCATCGACTGCTGGCGTGTCTGGAGATGCCACAGTGTCAACTGCTGCATCTGCTGGGGGAAATTCCGGCCAGATCGCGATCGCAACTGGCGCGTCCACCGGTGGTCGAGGTGGGGATATTAGCTTGACCAGTGGAAGCGGTACTGTTGGTGCTGGCGGAGGTCTGTCTCTGACTGCTGGGGTCAGTTCTGCTGCTACGGGTGGTAAAGTTGCTGTGCGTGGAGGCGCTGGTGTTGTCGGCGGTAATGTTGAAGTGTCAGGTGGAGCTGGCTCTGCCGGTGTTGGCGGGGATGTCGCTCTCACCAGTGGCCTGGGCGTCGGACCGGCCCTCAGTGGCGATGTGCGCATCGCAAGTGCGAACGGTGATACGACTGGACTCATTCAACTCGCCACCGGTGCTGGTGCAAACGGTGCGGGTGGCAGTATTCGCTTATCCGTTGGTGCTGGAACCGCCGGCATTGGAGGTGCTATCAGTTTGACCAGCGGCAATTCAGCCTCTGGTGGCGATGTCAGTGTCATCAGTGGCTCATCAATTGGTGGCCAGTCTGGCGGAATCTCATTGTCGACGAGCCCATCCGTGGGCGGTAACTCCGGCACTGTACGCTTGACAACCGGGGCAGCTTCTGGGGGCACAGGTGGTAGTTTGATTGGCACCTCCGGCAATGGCGACACTGGACTTGGTGGCGCTGTCACTCTAACGGGTGGTTCGAGCTCTGCATCGACCGGTGGCAAAAGCTCCATTGTTGGCGGAAGTGGCACCGTCGGTGGCGATGTTGCATTGACTGCAGGGGCAGCTACCGCTGGCATTGGTGGACAAGTTACGTTAACCAGTGGCGCATCGAGCAGTCAGAGTGGACTCATTGCCCTCGTGAGTGCCAGTGCGAGTACTAGTGGAGCCATATCCCTTTCGACGGGCGCTGGTACTGGTGGTGCTGGAGGCTCAATCTTGCTTCAAGTTGGAAGTGCTAGCACTGGCACGGGCGGAGCCGCTACGATAATCAGTGGAGCAGGAGTCAACGGTGGACCTGTGAGCTTGACCACTGGAACGTCATCTGGTGGTGTTTCTGGACCTGTATCTCTTACGTCTGGGGCATCCACTGGAGGCAACTCTGGTGCACTGTCGTTCAATTCTGGAGCCGCCGCGGGGGGTGCGGGTGGTGGTATCACTGGTCTTGTTGGATCGGGTGCAACCGGAGTTGGTGGCGCGGTCACGTTTACCGCTGGCAATAGCGCTGCTTCAACCGGAGGAAAGAGCGCTCTCCTTGGCGGTGGTGGAACTGTTGGGGGAAACGTCGAGCTCACTGGTGGAGCTGGTGCAACGACGCTCGGAGGAAGCATCACAGCAACAAGTGGTTCTGGCGCTGCATCATCGACGAGTGGTGGCATTTCGTTGAGCACTGCTGGCAGTAGCACTACTGGCTCGATTTTACTTCGCTCAGGGACTGCTACAACTGGTGCTGGAGGCGGCATCAGCGTGTCCGTTGGTGGTGGAGTTGCAGGAACTGGTGGTGCTGTCAACGTTGCAAGTGGAAATGGCGCAGTTGGTGGCTCTGCCGTGTTGTCCAGTGGGGCATCCACTGCTGGGGTTTCCGGAAGTGTTGCTCTCTCCACGGCCCCCTCTGTTGGTGGTTCGTCTGGGTCTGTTACGCTTACTACTGGTGCCGCAACTGGAGGAACCGGCGGCGCTATCTCTGGTACAGTTGGGAATGGTGTGGTTGGCAATGGAGGAGCGATTACGTTTACAAGTGGTGCGAGTTCTGTGGCAACTGGAGGCAAGACGTCGTTACTTGGTGGTGCTGGTACCGTCGGAGGAAACGTCGAAGTAACAAGCGGTGCTGGCTCTGCCACTGCCAGTGGTGATATTATACTCGCCACAGGAGCAGCTGCTAGTAACTCAGTCAGTGGAAGCATTGCACTCAGCACTCCAAGCGCGTCCTCCACCAGTGGCGGCGCCATCTCTATCCGCAGTGGTTCCTCGTCGGGGGCTGTTGGCGGAACGATTACCCTGTCCGTGGGTGGAGGGACTTCGGGTACAGGTGGAGCCGTCCGCTTGACCAGTGGCAACTCTGTGGTTGGTGGTGATATCACGGCAACCACTGGAGCATCTTCGGCTGGAGCTTCCGGCAACGTGGCACTCTCGACGGGAGCTTCGAGTGGAGGCGACTCCGGCAGTGTCGTTATTACCACTGGCGTTGCTTCTGGTGGCCGTGGAGGTGCCATCACCGGAACGGTGGGGAATGGTGCGTCCGGCGTCGGTGGCGCCGTTGCTTTTACGGCTGGCTCTTCGGTGACAGGTGGTGCCATGACTTTAGCAAGTGGAAGTTCCAGTGCCGGCAGGTCTGGATCGGTCACGTTGCAATCCTCTCTATCCACAGGAGGTAACTCCGGCGCCGTCTCGCTTCTGACTGGTGACGCCACCGGAGGAGCTGGTGGTGATATCATGGCAACTGTTGGTTCGGCTGCGTCAGGAGTTGGCGGCGGCATAACTTTTACTGCGGGAGTATCGACGGCTTCAACCGGAGGTAAGTCGTCTCTGCTTGGCGGCAGTGGCACCGTTGGTGGAGACGTCGCGATTACTGGTGGCCTTGCGACTTCGAGTACCGGTGGAAGCATCGCCCTTGTGTCTGGATCTGGTGCAGCTTCATCCTTCAGCGGTGATGTCACATTGAGCACGAAGGAATCAGCGTCCTCCGGGACAATGACCCTTGCCACTGGTCCGGGAACTGGTGGTGCTGGTGGAAGTGTGCTGATCTCAGTTGGTACCGGTTCGACCGGCCAAAGTGGATCCCTTAGTCTCAACAGTGGTTCTGGACCCTCCGGTGGTAACATCGTCATTGCAAGTGGGTCGTCCTCTGCTGGAAGCTCGGGTGCTGTGTCAATTTCCACAGCTGCAGCAACCGGCGGTGAATCAGGCTCGCTTAATCTTGCAACTGGAACATCGAGCAATACTGCGGGTGGCAATATCATTGCAACTGTTGGCAACGGAGTGCCGGCGGCCACTACCCCTGGCGGTCGGATCTCATTCACTGCTGGAGCTAGCACCGCATCCACCGGTGGTAAAATTCAACTGACTGGTGGTGTGGGGACATCTGGTGGGAACGTCGAGCTTCTTGGCGGCGATACTCCGGCTGGAACATTAGGTGGAAACATTCTCGTGACTGCCGGTGCGGGTGTCACTGGTGCTGGTGGCAATGTGGCACTATTGAGTGGTGCCAGCTCAACTTTGGGTCAATCAGGGTCCATTTCATTATCTACCGCTGGTGCAGTGACCTCTGGGGCGATCCTATTGAGTTCTGGAGTGGCTAGCAACGGAGCTGGCGGCACGGTTTCCATTGGGGTTGGTGCTGGAACACTTGGCAGTGGAGGCAATCTTCAATTGTCCTCTGGTAACTCGGTGTCGGGCGGTGCTGTTCAAATTGGCAGTGGAAGTTCCACTGCTGGAGCCTCTGGAAGTGTTGTGTTGTCGTCAGCGGCTGCAGCTGGAGGGAATTCTGGTTCAATCACTATCGCGTCTGGACCTGCTACAGGCGGTACTGGTGGAGGTCTTGCTGTTACCGTCGGCAATGGCGACACTGGAAATGGAGGCTCGATTGCCTTGACCGCAGGACTGAGCTCAGCCGCAGTTGGGGGCAAAGTTACTTTGAATGGTGGGGCTGGAGCCACTGGTGGAAACGTTGAAGTCACCAGTGGTACAAGTTCTGCCGGAAGCAGTGGGGATGTTTTAATCAAGAGCGGTGCCAGTGCAGCTGCAGCTGTAAGTGGTGGGATTGCTCTGAGCTCTCAAAACAGCGCTACGTCAGGCGCGATTTCACTTCGAACTGGAAGTAGTACCGCTTCTGGCGGTGGTGCCATCACTCTGTCTGTTGGCAGCGGCAGCACTGGTACGGGTGGTGCGGTTCATGTCAACTCTGGCGTTGGTGTCAACGGTGGGGCGATTTCGATTTCAAGTGGTGTGGCCACCGCTGGTGTCTCTGGCGCGGTTTCAATTGCATCGAGTGCCGCTACAGGCGGGAACAGCGGAGGTGTGACCCTCGCTTCCGGTACCTCCACCGCTGGTGGTACCGGTGGTGCGATCACAGCTACCGTTGGAAGTGGAGCTCTTGGAAACGGTGGCGCGTTGTCCCTCACAGCCGGCGCGAGCTCTGTTGCGACGGGAGGCAAGTCATCACTTACAGGCGGCGCTGGAACTGTCGGTGGAAATGTCGAATTGACGTCTGGGCTTGGTTCTTCCAGTAGCGGGGGAAACGTACTCATCACAAGCGGAGCAGCGGCAGCTTCATCAACCAGTGGCACAATTGCACTGGCTACATCGGGCGGAAGCACATCGGGTGCGATTACACTCAGTACGGGTGCTGGATCAAGTGGCCCAGGTGGGAATATTGTACTGTCCGTCGGAAGCGGAAGCACGGGCACTGGTGGCGGCGTCAGCATCGCAAGTGGCGCCGGTGTCGTTGGTGGAGCCCTGGCATTGACCAGTGGTGCATCTACTGCAGGCGTATCTGGAGCTTTTTCTGTTCAAACGGGGGCCTCAGTTGGTGGTAACTCTGGAACGATGACGATTGCTTCAGGAAGTGCCACCGGTGGTACGGGTGGTGATGTTGCGATGTCTGTTGGCTCTGGTGTCCAAGGAACTGGTGGCACCCTCACGATGACGGCAGGTGCGAGTACGGTTGCTGCTGGCGGCACCAGCTCGTTGATTGGAGGTGGCGGAACTGTCGGAGGCAGCGTTCAAGTCACTGGTGGAGCTGGTTCAAGCGGTGCTGGTGGGTCGATTCTTCTGAGAAGCGGCGATGGCAGTGCTGCAAGTGGAGGCGTTACTGTCGCTACCAGCAGCGTTGGTACGTCGACAGGTACGATTACGCTTTCTACTGGCGCATCTGCCGGTGCAGTGGGTGGAATCTCTGTCATTCCTGGCTCATCATCGGGTACCGATGGAGCCACAGTCACGCTCACCTCTGGCGCTTCCTCTAAGGCTGCTGGTATTGGCGGCAAAGTTGCTATAACTGGTGGTGCTGCTGCTGTTGGTGGAAACGTTGAACTTGTTGGTGGGGCTGGCGGCACGACAACAGGCGGTCACGTTATCATCAAGAGCGGCTCTGGCGCCTCCACATCGTTCAGTGGAGGTGTGGTGTTGTCGTCTGCAACGGGTGATTCTACGAGTGGAGCCATCACGCTTCAGACTGGTGCATCAACCTTAGGGGTTGGTGGCAACATTGTGCTGTCCAGCGGAGGAAGCACGGTCGGCGCTGGCAGTGGAATCTCCCTTGCTGCTGGCCAGAGCGCAAATGCTGCTGGCGGAAACATTGACCTGGTTGCATCTCAAGGCACCGAAGGTGGCCGGATTTTGCTGTCCGGGGGTGTTGGAGCTCAAACGAGTGGGGGACGCCTGGTACTTACCAGTGGTGCTGGCATCGACACGACGAAGCCGAGTGGAAACATTGACATTTCCAGCCCTTCCGGTAGTGTCAGTGGTGCAATTGGTCTCTCCACTGGCGTTGCAACTGCCGGCGCGTCAGGTTCGATTCGAGCCTCCGTTGGATCGAGTAGTGCAACCGGTGGCGACGTCTCCATTTTGAGTGGAAGTGGTGTGACTGGTGGGAACGTTCTCTTGTCGAGTGGTTCATCAAGCGCCGGTACATCGGGAAGCCTGACTCTATCCTCCAATGTAGCCACCGGTGGCAGCTCTGGGCAAGTGGTGCTTTCGACTGGCGCGAGCACTGGCGGGGCTGGTGGCAACATAGCTGCCACTGTTGGGAATGGTGCGACCGGAGCTGGCGGAAATGTTGTGTTTACTGCTGGGGCCAGTTCAGCGTCAACGGGTGGTAAATCATCGCTTGTGGGCGGCGCCGGTACCGCCGGTGGGAATGTAGAATTGATATCTGGTTCTGGTACATCGGCGTCTGGCGGCGACATTGTGTTGCGAAGTGGTGTCGGTGCAGCTGCTTCGGTCAGTGGTGGCATCTCGTTGAGCACGCAACCAAGCGCTTCGACTGGTGCGATGAACCTCCGAACTGGAGCTGCGTCAAGTGGTGCAGGCGGAAGTGTTTCAATTTCTGTTGGCAGTGGAACAACAGGGGCTGGTGGTGCCATTTCCATCACCAGTGGGGTCGGAGTTTCCGGCGGCGCGGTGTCCGTTCTCAGTGGGGCATCTACTGCTGGTACATCCGGCACGGTGGTATTGGGTTCTAGTGCAGCCACTGGCGGAGCATCGGGGGCTGTGTCCATCTTGACTGGTGCGTCGACAGCAGGTGGATCAGGTGGCGCCCTGACGGCTACTGTTGGAAATGGTATCGTTGGAAATGGCGGCGTGCTGACGCTCACTGCCGGTGCGAGTTCTGTTGGTACTGGAGGCATCAGCTCAGTTAACGGTGGAGCTGGAACTGCTGGCGGCGGAGTTCAGTTAAACGGTGGTGTTGGCTCCACAGCTAACGGGGGCAGCATTGCTTTGACCGGTGGTGCTGGTGCAAGCGGAGTTGGTGGAGGTGTATCTATGATCAGTGGAAGCGGAGGACAATCTGGCACGCTGTCTCTGAGTACAACAGCAGCCGCTGCAACTGGCGCGATTGCCATTACGACTGGACTTGCCAGTGCTGGTGGTGGTGGTGCCATTCAAGTCGCGGTGGCTGGCGGTAACACTGGAACAGGTGGTAGCGTGAGCCTATCCAGTGGGAGTTCTGCTGTTGGTGGCGCATTGACACTCTCCTCGGGTGCTTCAACCGCTGGTACTTCTGGTGCTGTATCCGTTCAATCGAGTTCGTCCACTGGTGGAAACTCGGGAGCTGTAACATTGTCGACGGGGGCGGCATCGGGAGGCACTGGTGGCTCAATCATTGCATCCGTTGGGTCTGGCGCTACAGGTGCCGGAGGTACGATTCAACTGGTTGCAGGATCCAGTTCGGCATCAACTGGGGGTCTGACCTCCGTCGCTGGTGGTTCTGGCACCGCAGGTGGCGACGTGCGATTGTTTGGTGGAGCCGGAAGTGCCGTAAACGGAGGAAGCGTGTTGCTGACATCCGGTGCGGCAACTACGACGACTGCAGTGACTGGTGCAGTCACTGTCAGTACGTTGGCTGGTGGAAACAGCGGGCCCTTATCGCTCATCACTGGTGCATCGAGCTCTGCTGCAGGTGCAATTTCCGTATCCGTTGGAGCTTCGACCACAGGAAATGGCGCCAACGTTCAGCTGACCAGTGGATCAGGAGCTGCCGGTGGAGCGATAGCTTTGTCCACTGGCGCGTCAAGTGCAGGAGCTTCCGGTCCAGCCACGGTCACGACTGCAGCGTCCACTGGTGGAAATTCTGGTGCGATTTCCTTGCAAACCGGCGTGGCTGGTGGTGGAACAGGGGGCGGCATAACGGGATCAGTTGGCAATGGTGCTGTAGGGGTTGGTGGGGCAGTCACTTTTACAGCCGGCGCGAGCACTGCCTCCACTGGGGGAAAATCGTCTGTTTTTGGTGGTGCTGGCTCGGTCGGTGGCAACGTTGAAATCACGGGCGGAGCTGGCTCAACTACATTTGGTGGCTCTGTTTCGTTATCGAGCGGCACTGGGTCCTCCGCATCAACGAGCGGAAGTATCGCCATTGCATCGTCAGGTGGTAGCGATACTGGCTCACTTCAATTGTCTACTGGCGCTGCGTCAGCCGGTGCTGGTGGGGCGATATCAGTTGGTGTTGGAGCAGGCGCTACTGGAACTGGAGGCAGTCTGTCACTGGCGAGCGGTAACGGCGTATCTGGCGGTACAGTGACGGTATCGAGTGGAACTTCGTCTGCTGGAGCGTCTGGGTCTCTTGCGATTGTTTCCGGTGCCGCAACTGGCGGTAACTCGGGGCAAATAACAGTGTCCAGCGGCGCTGCGTCCGGAGGAACCGGAGGAAACATTGCCGTCACTCCCGGCAGTGGTGCTTTGGCAACGGGTGGATCGATTCTCCTTACGGCTGGTTTGAGTTCTGCTGGAACCGGAGGTAAAACATCAATTGTTGGTGGAATTGGAACTCGAGGAGGGAACATTGAGCTAACTGGTGGTTCCGGTACCGCTGGATTTGGCGGCGATGTGACCTTGTCGAGCGGTGCCGGTGCTGGTCCAGCAACGAGTGGAGTCCTCAAGTTGTCCACGAAGGACAACGATACAACTGGTTCTATTCAACTCACCACTGGCGCTGCGGCCGTTGGCTCAAGCGGCCATATTCGCATTGGAGTTGGTGCTGGTACAGCGGGAACTGGTGGCGACATCAGTTTGTCCAGCGGAAACAATGTGGTCGGTGGTGCTGTGAATGTCCAAAGTGGTTCGTCCAGCGGCGGTGCTTCCGGTGGCGTCACAATTGCTTCAAGTGCGTCCACAGGCGGTGATTCCGGAGCAATCAGCATCACCACGGGCGCCTCGACGGCAGGTGGAACCGGAGGGTCGATCACAGCGACTGTTGGCAATGGAGCTGTAGGTGACGGTGGCGTCATCACCTTAACCGCTGGCTCTAGCGCTGCCGCTGCCGGTGGTAAAGCATCAATCCTTGGCGGTGGAGGTGTGACTGGTGGCAATGTCGACATTTCAGCTGGTGCAGGAACAACTGGCAACGGTGGCAACATTTTGTTGACCAGCGGCGTTGGTGTTGCTACTGGAAGCAGCGGATCGATTGCTTTGTCCACACCAAGTGATGCCACAAGCGGTGCGATTTCCTTTGTTTCTGGAAGTGCAACGGGTGGTCCTGGTGGCAGCATTTCTTTGACAGTTGGTGCCGGGTCCACTGGAGCTGGTGGAAGTGTAAATGTTGCTAGTGGCTCTGGCGTTTCCGGTGGGCCGATCAATTTCAACAGCGGTGTGTCCAGCGCCGGTGCTTCTGGGCTCCTTTCTCTGAGATCTGGAGTTGCCGTTGGCGGAAACTCTGGTTCGGTAGCTATATCAACTGGAAGTGCCACAAGTGGCACTGGCGGCAGCATCGTTGGTACAGTTGGTGGAGGCACGCAAGGCATCGGGGGCGACGTTGCCTTTACCGCTGGGTCAAGCACTGTTGCAAGTGGTGGCACGTCGTCGCTTACAGGGGGAGCTGGTACCCTTGGCGGTGCGGTTGAGCTGATCGGCGGTGCAGGTGCAACGAGCACCGGTGGGCATGTTTTGCTTCAAAGTGGCGATAGCGCAGCAGTTAGTGGACATGTCACGCTCTCGACCAGTGCGGTTGGCACTGGGAGTGGAAGCGTTTTCCTTAGCACTGGTGCTTCTTCTGGGCCATCTGGTCGTATCAGCGCCATTGCAGGAAGCAGTTCCGGAAACAACGGCGCTATATTGACCTTGGCTGCCGGTGCAACCACTAGTACTGGCAGCACTGGTGGCAAATCCAGCATTGCTGGTGGCAGCGGTGCGGTCGGTGGAAATGTTGAGCTGACCGGTGGTGCTGGTGGCACCACCTTTGGTGGCAATATTGCTTTGACGTCTGGCGCTGGTGCAAGTTCTTCGACAAGCGGCGGTATTACGATGTCCACTGCCGGAGGCGCTGCTTCTAGTGGACTTGTTCAAGTCACGACAGGAACATCGAGCGCTGGGGTTGGTGGCAACATTGGCATATCCGTCGGCGACAGCACTGCTGCAGGCTTGGGTGGTAGCGTATCCGTTGTCGCTGGACTCGCTCCAGCGAGCAAAGGCGGCGACGTGACCATTTCGAGCGGCGGAGGCTCGTCTGGTGGACTTATCAGTCTCGTTGGTGGGTCGGCGTCCTCTCAGACAGGTGGCGGTATCACACTGACTGGTGGAGACTCGAGCGCTGCCAACGGTGGCGACATTCAGCTGACCAGCGGCAATGCAGCGTCGACGTCAATCACCGGGGATGTTACGCTGTCGACAAGGGGAAGTGCCAGCAGATCGGGAAAGATCACCCTGGCGACAGGAACTTCGACTGGAGGCCTCAGTGGAAGCATAATTGTCTCGACAGGAGGTACAGCCGTTGGTCTTGGGGGCGCCATTTCCATATCCTCGGGGGCATCCAGCGACTCAATGGGGGGCGTAGTCTCACTTGCGAGTGGAAGCGGTGCGACGGGTGGCTCGCTACAAATTGCAACTGGAACTGGAAGCACAAACGCAGGTGGTAGCATTACTTTGACCACTGGCATTTCCAACACTGTTCGAAGTGGTGTGATTGCCCTGTCGACGCAAGCAAGCCCAAGAGCTGGAGGAATCTATCTCAACACTGGAGCTGCAGCCAACAACCCTGGCGACATTACAGCGACGGTTGGCGATTCCACCAACAACGTTGGCGGTTCAGCTAGCATCACCGCAGGTGTCAGCACTCTGTCGACTGGAGGTCAAGCGTCCATCACAGGTGGTGCTGGTACTGGTGGCGGATCCGTCCGAATTGTTGGTGGCGTCGGAACCTCGGCTGACGGTGGTGCTGCGATAATTGCTGGTGGGGCTGGCTCGTCTGGTGTTGGCGGCGCCGTACAAATTACAAGCGGGGTGGGCTCATCGTCCCTCTCCAGCGGCGCTCTAACATTGTCTTCGTCGGACAGTGCTGGCTCAACTGGTTCGTTATCGTTGAACTCTGGGGTGGCTGCTGGTGCTACAGGAGGCAGTATTGCCCTCCAAGTTGGGGCCAGTGCAGGAACCAGCGCAGGTGGCGACGTCACGTTAGGATCTGGCGCAAGTGCTGCTTCATTCGGAGGTAAAATTGCTCTCACCGGAGGCTCCGGTGGAACCGCTGGTGGTGAGGTACAGTTGATTGGAGGCCTGGCTGCCACGACGACGGGTGGTCATGTCCGCTTAACTGGTGGTGCTTCCTCGGCTGCGTCTGGTGGTAGTGTGTTGCTCACCTCGGGCGCCGGAACCGCTGCTTTCAACAGTGGGAATGTTATCCTTTCAACTGTTGCTGGAGCGTTCCCCACTGGCTCTGTCTCTTTGATTTCTGGTGCTTCGTCTGCTGGTGCAGCTGGCTCCATCATTGGACAAGGTGGAATGAGCAGCGCTGGTTTAGGAGGTGCAGTGTCCTTCACCGCTGGTGTTGGAAGCGCATCCACTGGAGGCAAGAGTTCTCTAGTTGGGGGACAAGGCACTGTTGGGGGAAATGTTGAGCTGACAAGTGGTGTTGGAAGTTCATCAACTGGTGGTCAAATTATGTTGACCTCTGGGGCTGGATCGTCGGCTCAAGGAAGTGGAAGCATTGCATTATCATCTGCCGGTGGTGCATTTCCCTCCGGGGCAATTTTCATCACCACGGGGACGTCAACCGGAGGCAGCGGCGGCACCATCAGCGCTGCAGTTGGAGGCAGCTCCGCTGGAAATGCTGGAGTCATCAGTTTGATTGCCGGATCAAGTACAGCTTCTACTGGCGGGAAGGTGTCCATCTCTGGCAACACTGGTACCGTCGGTGGCAATGTCGAATTGAGCGGGGGCGCGGCTACAGCATCACCTGCGACTGGTGGTAGCATTCTATTGACATCGGGGCTTGGTGGAACCCGAAGCGGAAATATTGTGTTGGGTTCGAATGGTGGTGCCTTTACAAGTGGTGGTGTGACCTTAAGCACAGGCACTGCAACGTCTGTCGGCAACAGCGGTAGCATTTCTGCTGTTGCAGGAGGCAGTGCAGTTGGTGTCGGCGGATCTATTTCACTGACTGGTGGGGTGGGTTCTGCGTCCACTGGTGGGAAGTCTTCCGTGGCTGGCGGACAAGGCACAGTTGGCGGAAACGTGGAATTGTTGAGTGGTGCTGGCACGTCGAGCACTGGCGGTCAGATTCTGTTGACGAGTGGCGGTGGTGCAGCAACTGCTGGAAGTGGTGGTGTCGCCATTTCAACTGGTGCGGGTGGTTTTACCACAGGTTCCATTTCCCTCGTGACTGGCGATTCGACATCTGCTGCGATCGGGTCCATTACTGGAGTTGCAGGTCGAAGCTCGGTCGCGAACGGTGGTAGCGTATCCTTCACCGCTGGTAGCAGTGCTACTGCAACAGGCGGCAGCAGCAGCCTCATCGGTGGAGCCGGAACCAATGGTGGCAGTGTCACCATCGCAGGTGGAGCAGGAACCAACAGCGGTGGTGGGCTTTCGTTGACTGCTGGAACTGGTTCAGCCTCTTCAGGTGGCGCAATTGCACTGCTGAGCGGTGTCGGCGCAAGCACGACGTCAAGCGGGGCAATTACACTTTCTACCGCAGTCGGGCCAAGCACAAGTGGTGTAATATCGCTCACCACTGGCTCTCCTACCGTTGGTTCTGGTGGCGATGTCATGGTGACTGTTGGCTCCAGTACCGCTGGAGTTGGGGGCCGAATTACGCTAACCGCAGGGACTGGTGCAGCCTCCACGGGTGGCAAGACTCGTCTCTTTGGTGGTCAAGGCACCGTTGGTGGTAACGTTGAACTGACGGGTGGAGTCGGCGCAACCACAAACGGAGGCTCAGTTTCCATAACAAGTGGTGCAGGTGAAGCGACGTCCACAAGCGGTGCCATTACCTTGACAACATCGGGCACCGGTGCTTCAAGTGGAGCTATTTCACTTGCCACTGGAGCCGGTACGAATGGAGTCAGCGGCGACATCAGCATTGCGCCAGGAAGTAGCTCAGCAAATACCGGCGGTTCGATCACGTTGACTTCTGGAGCTGGCACTGCAGCTACCGGCGGACGAACTTCTGTCATTGGCGGGGCTGGCACTGTGGGGGGCAATGTGCTTCTGACTGGAGGCGCTGGAACTGTCAATGCAGGTGGTCAGGTTATCATTGCGTCTGGCGTGGGGGCTGCCACTGCAGCTAGTGGTGCCGTCGCGTTGTCGTCAAGCGGTGGCGCCAGTACTAGTGGCTCCTTGACTTTGGCGACGGGGACAGCAACCGCTGGCACTGGTGGAAGCGTTTCCCTGTCCGCTGGTGGGGGAACGACGGGTTTGGGTGGAGCCGTGTCTGTCGTGGGCGGTGCCAGTTCCACATCGACAGGAGGTCTCACTTCCGTCACTGGTGGCCAAGGTACCTTGGGTGGTAACGTTGCCGTCACAGGTGGCGTTGGTGCCAGCAGCACAGGCGGCGCCGTTGTGGTCACCGGTGGAGCTGGCACTGGCAGCACTGGCGGCAGCATTCAGCTCGTCAGTGGAGCCGGTGCTACAACGTTTGCCAGTGGCTCGATTTCACTGTCTACCAACGGCGGTGGAGTGCATCCAACTGGAGTCGTCACCATCAGCACTGGTGCGTCATCGTCGGCAGCCGCCGGTACAATAGGTTTGTCCGTTGGGTCTGGCTCCGGGGTTGGATCTGCCCTGACCGTCACTGCCGGTGCAAGTACCACGGCTCGAGGAGGGCGAGTTACCATTACGTCTGGTGCGGGGTCTCAAGGCGGAGCCGTTGAATTGGTTGGTGCGACTTCGTCGACAACGACTGGTGGCGCAATTAGTTTGGCATCTGGTGGATCGCCGACAGGGACCGTTAGTGGAGCCATCACGCTTTCAACGGCTGGGAACGACTACACAAGCGGTGCCATTCAACTGACAACTGGGACGTCAACGAACGGTAATGGCGGGCCAATCAGTGCTGCGGTGGGCGCGAGTTCAACCGGCATCGGCGGCCAAATAAGCCTCCTCGGTGGCATGAGCACTGCGTCCACTGGTGGCCGCGTGTCCATCTCGGGAAATACGGGTACTGCAGGCGGCAACGTCGAACTCAACGGCGGAAGTGCCAGTAGTGGTACATCAACTGGCGGCTCCATCTTGCTCACTTCTGGGCTCGGAGGATCGAAGAGTGGAAACGTTCTCCTGTCTACGAATGGGGGTGCGTACACGAGTGGTACCATCACACTCTCCACGGGCACCGCGACATCGGTTGGTAGCAGCGGAAACATCGTGGCGACCGCCGGCGGAAGTGCAGTGGGGAACGGTGGAGCGATTACTCTCACTAGTGGCCTTGGTACGGCTGGAACAGGTGGAAGATCAAGCGTCGTCGGTGGTGCTGGTGGCGTCGGTGGCGCTGTGGAGTTAACTGGTGGCGCTGGAAGCGCAACTCTTGGCGGAAGTGTAGCATTGGCATCCGGTGCAGGCACTACTGCTTCAGGTGCCATCACGTTGTCGTCCACTGGGGGATCGTTTGTGAGTGGTGGAGTGTCCTTAACAACTGGAGATTCTTCGTCGGCTGGAGCAGGAGCAATTGCCATTTCGTCGGGGCGAAGCACCACAGGCAACGGACCGGACGTGACGTTAACTGCCGGTATTAGTTCGGCTGCGACTGGCGGAAAGAGCTCTGTGAACGGCGGTTCAGGAACTGTTGGCGGTGACGTTCATGTATCGGGCGGCAGCGGCTCCAACACCGGTGGCAGTGTTGTGCTTGCTGCTGGCGTGAGCAGCACGAGCACAGGGGGAGGCATCCGTATCACCACTGGGCAAGGTGCAACCTCGTACGGGAGTGGCGCGATAGCTCTGTCGACTGTGTCCGGCCCAAGTACCAGCGGCAGTATCACCCTTACGACAGGAACTCCAGTGACCGGATCTGGTGGCAACATTGCAGCCACTGCAGGAGATACGTCCACTGGTGTTGGCGGCAACGTTGCATTGCTGGCAGGAAAGAGCGCTGACGCTGCTGGTGGCATGGTCAGCATTACTGGTGGAGATGGTGCGTTCGGCGGCAACGTTGAGTTGACTGGCGGCACTGCTACTGGAACGGTTGGCGGCCAGATCCTTCTGACCAGTGGTGTTGGAGCAACTTCCTCCACCAGTGGACAAGTTCAAGTCTCGACAACTGGTGGGGCAATCGGAAGCGGGGGCATTTCATTGCTCACGGGGACCAGCACTGCTGGAACTGGTGGAAACATTGCAGCTACGGTTGGTGATAGCTCCACCGGCGTTGGCGGAAGCGCCATCGTTACGGCTGGCATGAGTGCGAGCGCTGTTGGCGGCAAAGTCGCCCTTCAGAGTGGAGCTGGCACCATTGGTGGAAACGTCGAATTGTCTGCTGGCACTGGGAGTGACGCTGCTGGTAGCGGTGGCAAGGTCCTCATCTCAAGTGGGACCGGAAGCGCAAGCACTGGTGGGGCGATTTCGCTCGTAACTGGAGCTGGAGCTGCGACGAAAGCAAGCGGCGATCTCACTCTGAGTACTTTGGCCGGCGGAACCACCAGTGGAAAGATCAACTTGGTGACCGGTGATGCGTCCTCTGGTGCAGGCGGGATCGTTCAATTGATGGCTGGAAGCAGCACAGGTGTTGCGGGAAGTGCTGTGACAGTACAAGCCGGCGCCAGCACTGATAACACTGGTGGCCAAGTCTCTGTTAATGCAGGTTCCGGCTTGGCTGGAGGCGCCATTCAGCTAACTGCTGGAGCAGGATCCACTGGTGTTGGTGGCCAGCTTTCGCTTGTCAGCGGAGCTGCTGCCGGTGCCTCAGTCAGCGGTGATGTCCGGCTCTCAACGGCAGGTGGTGGATTCACCAGTGGCGCAATCTCTCTCGCTACTGGAGCTTCTACCGCTGGCAATGGTGGCAACATTGCTGCGACCGTTGGTGCCAGCACAACGGGTGGTGGTGGAATGATGACGCTGACGTCTGGATTCTCGAGCGCATCTACGGGAGGAAAGTTATCCCTGTTTGGAGGTGCTGGCACCGTCGGTGGAAATGCCGAAGTGACGGGGGGCGCTGCCAGTGGCGCGACTGGCGTGGGTGGTGGCAATGTCGTTTTGTCAGGAGGTGCTGGTGCAACCACTACTGGCGGAAGCGTTACCTTGGTTAGCGGCGCTGGTGGTACCGCAGCTGCAAGTGGGCGAGTCACGCTCTCGACATTGGCTGGTACAAGTACAAGTGGCGCAATTATGTTGACTACTGGTGCTGCGTCTGCCGGAGCGGGAGGTGCGATCACAGTAACAGCTGGCTCGACGTCGACGGGTGCTGGAGCTGCGATCACGTTGACTGCTGGCATCAGCAGTGACAACGCTGGAGGGAAGGCGCGAGTGTTTGGAGGCCGAGGGGTCACTGCAGGCGGTGACGTCGAAGTAACAAGCGGCGTTGCTACCACGGGAAATGGTGGAAACATTGTCCTCTTGACTGGATCGCCTGGAAGTTCATCTACCAGTGGAACAATTGGCTTGTCGACAGCGACCGGTGCGTTTAACACTGGTGGCGTCAACATTGTGTCTGGTGCAGCTACGTCTGGCTCAAGTGGTGGCATCGTTGCGACTGCAGGAACTTCGTCGACTGGCGTCGGCAGTGCCATTTCGTTGACGGCGGGTGCAAGCGGAGACGCGGCTGGCGGCAAGACCTCTGTAGTTGGAGGTGCTGGTACAGTTGGCGGGAACGTCGAGCTCACTGCTGGTGTGGGCAACACTCTCAACGGTGGAAGTGTTACGTTGGCTGGAGGGCAATCCTCGACTACAATTGGAGGCGGTATCAACGTATTGAGTGGAGCAGGTGCAACGGGTCAAGCTAGTGGTGCGGTGGCCATTGGATCAGTGGGTGGTGGACCTTCCAGTGGTCAAGTAACCATTTCGACTGGAACATCCACGGCTGCGTCAGGCGGAAGCATCGCCATGTCCGTCGGTGGAAGCAACACTGGTGTGGGTGGCACGATTGCTTTAACTTCTGGTGCCAGCACTGCGTCGAGTGGTGGTGAAACCAGTATTACGGGAGGCGGCGGCACTAGAGGCGGTGCCGTCAATATCAACGGTGGCGATGGTACCACCGGAAATGGTGGTGCCGTTTCAATCACAGGTGGATCCGGCCCTGCTGGTGTTGGTGGCTCCATTCAGGTGACAAGCGGTGTTGGTTCAGCTGCCACAGCGAGCGGAACGATGGCACTGTCAACGGCTGATAATGCTGGCTCTACTGGAGCAGTTTCGGTGGCAACTGGGGCTGCGTCAGATGGAAGTAGTGGCGGAGTTACGGTCGCTGTTGGAAGCAGCTCCGGTACCAATCCTGGAGGTGCTATTTCGATCACGTCGGGGCTCAGCGCTTCGGCTGCTGGAGGCACCACAGCCATTACTGGTGGTGCTGGAACGGCTGGTGGCGAAATCCGATTGACAGGCGGGGTGGGTGCAACCACCACAGGTGGCAGCATCCGCTTGACAGGCGGTGTGTCTTCGGCATCAACTGGAGGCGGCATTGTGATATCGTCAGGATCCGGAACTGGATCAGCTGCAAGTGGAAGCATTCAATTATCTTCTGCTGGTGGGGCTTTTCCTTCTGGTGGAATTGGCTTGTCAACTGGCGCCTCCACATCGGGGGCTGGTGGGTCCATCACTGCTGTGGCTGGCTCTAGTAGCGCTGGTCTTGGAGGGCCCATTTCGTTGACTGCTGGCGTCGGAAGTGCGTCCACTGGCGGAAAAACTTCACTTATTGGTGGACAAGGCACAGTGGGCGGAAACGTCGAAGTCGTAAGTGGTGCTGGCTCATCGTCGACTGGTGGGCAGATCATTTTGACTACTGGTGGTGGATCGTCTGCTCAGGGCAGTGGAGCGATTTCTCTGTCGACAACCGGAGGCGCTTTTTCGTCGGGTACTATTTTCCTCACGACGGGTGCCTCGACAGGTGGCGGTGGTGGAGCAATCAGTGCTGCAGTTGGCGCGAGCGCATCTGGAGTCGGTGGCCAAGTGAGCTTCATTGCTGGCTCCAGTTCAGCCTCCACGGGCGGGAAAGTCTCGATGTCGGGTAACTCGGGAACGATTGGGGGCAACGTCGAGTTGAGTGGGGGTTCCGCAACCACAAGTCCAGCCACGGGCGGCAGCATCCTGTTGACGTCCGGTCTCGGAGGAAGTCGAAGCGGGAATATTGCCCTGTCGTCAAGCGGCGGTGCATTTACCAGTGGCTCGATTACCCTCAACACAGGTACGGCATCGTCTGTTGGCGGCAGTGGCAGTATCACGGCCTTGGCTGGGAGCAGTGCTGTTGGCACTGGCGGGTCGATTTCCCTCACGGCCGGCATCGGGGTGGCATCTACGGGTGGTCGAGCAAGTGTTATTGGTGGCCAGGGAACTGTTGGCGGCAACCTTGAGTTCACAAGTGGTGCTGGAACAACAACAACTGGTGGCAACATTTTATTGACCAGTGGCGGCGGAGCAGCTTCGTCTGGTAGTGGAGGTGTCACAGTATCCACAACTGGTGGCGCTTTCAGCAGTGGCCCCTTGTCCCTCATTACAGGAGCATCCACGTCAGGAGGTGGTGGGGCGATTACAGCTTCCGTCGGAGCCAGTGCAACTGGTGTCGGTGGGTTCATCACTCTTGTGGCTGGAAGCAGCACTGCATCCACTGGTGGCAAGACAACCGTCACTGGTGGTGCTGGGACGGTCGGTGGCGGTGTGGAAGCTACTGGTGGCAGTGGCACAAGCACTGGAGGGTCTGTACTCTTGACGAGTGGAGCGAGCTCTGGCAGTACCGGTGGATCGTTGACGTTGACAACAGGTGCGGGGGCCGCCACGTTTGCTAGTGGTGGTATTGCGCTCTCAACTGCGACTGGAGCAAGTTCGTCTGGAGCTATTTCGCTTACTACTGGCACTCCCACCGCTGGCGTTGGTGGGGCGGTGGCTATATCCGTTGGCGGTAGTGTGACTGGAATTGGGTCGGCCATTACGTTGACAGCTGGAGCTGGCACTGCGTCAACCGGTGGGAAGAGTTCCATTGTTGGTGGAGCTGGTACTGTCGGTGGCAATGTCGAGCTTACAAGCGGGGCTGGCACAACCGGTGATGGGGGCGTAATTGCCTTGGTCAGTGGTGCTGGCGCAGCGACAGCTACCGGCGGTGGAATCACCATGTCAACGACCGGAAGTGCTTCCAGTGGTGCGATTGCATTGGCGACGGGCGCTGGTGCAAATGGCGTTGGTGGCAGTATCAGTGCTTCAGTTGGGGCAACCACTGCAGGGGTCGGAGGCTCCATTTCGCTGAGTGCTGGAACTACCTCAGCGTCAACGGGCGGCAAAGCGTCGTTGCTCAGTGGAGCAGGAACAACCGGTGGCAATGTTGAGCTCACGAGTGGTGCGGGAAGTGCAAACACTGGTGGGCACATCGTCTTGGTCACTGGTACTGGTGCCGCTGCCGCAGCAAGTGGATCGCTCATGCTGTCGACTGCTGGAGGTGCCAGTACGAGTGGAACAGTGACATTGGCGTCTGGAGCGGCGACTGCGGGCTCCGGTGGCAGTGTAACCGTGTCGTCTGGTGCGGGTACAGTTGGTCTGGGCGGTACGGTCGGTATTAGCAGTGGTTCCTCGACTGCAGCCACGGGTGGGGCCATTAACCTTCAAAGCGGACAAGGCTCTTTTGGTGGCAATCTCGGCCTTTCTGCGGGAGCAGGGTCGGCTAATGCTGGTGGTCGAGTGATGATTGCATCGGGTGCAAGTACTGGAGGTGCCAGTGGATGGATCAGTTTGTCGACGGCTAACGGAGCTGGAAACAGCGGTGCTGTTTCGTTGTTGACGGGCGCGTCGTCTGCTGGAACGGGTGGAGACTTTACCGCCACAGTCGGTTCCGGATCCGTCGACACTGGCGGCAAGATCACGTTGACAGCTGGCTCGAGTAGCGTTGCCACTGGTGGGAAAGTAAGCGTTGTCAGTGGCGCAGGAACAGTTGGTGGCGATGTCGAATTCAACGGCGGCGCCGCAAGTGCAGGAGCTGGGGGCAGCATTCTTCTCAACACTGGAACTGGGACCCTTTCAAGTGGCGGTATTACGTTGTCGACTATCGGTGGTGGGGCCCAGAGCGGGTCGATCAGTGTCAACACGGGTACAGCGACTTCAACAGCTGGTGCGATTGCATTGTCCGTGGGAGGTGGGGCCGCAACTGCTGCTGGTTCCATTACTCTCACTGCTGGGGCGACATCGTCTGCCTCTGGAACAGGTGGCCGGATGTTCATGTTTGGCGGTAGCGGAAACGTTGGTGGTGGCATTACCTTGTCCAGTGGGGCCGGAAACAACTTGGCTGGGGGAGGTTTGACTCTCACTGGCGGGCAAAGCACTGCAGGCACAGGTGGTGCGATTCAATTGACCTCTGGCACTGGAGGTAGCAGTGTCGGCAGTGGGGCAATCACTCTGTCCACTGGTGGTACTTCAGGTTCTTCTGGCGCGATTACAATGTCCACTGGGAATGCCGGAGGTACAGGTTCAGGTGGGGCCATTACACTTTCCATCGGATCGAGTACATCAGGCGTTGGTCGAGCTCTCTCTGCGACAGCTGGGACCAGTACGACCAATACTGGTGGTAAAGCAACTTTGACCGGCGGTGGAGGTCTCACGGGTGGCAACATTGAGCTTGCAAGTGGTTTGGGCACATCCACCGGTGGCAACGTCCTCTTGACGAGTGGCGGTGGCTCTTCGTCTGGTACAAGTGGCAATGTCAATATCCTCACAGCCAGTGGCTCTACAACGGGTGGTTCGATTGCGCTGACGACTGGGACTGCGACTGGAGCAAGTGGAGCCATCACGATGTCTGTAGGAAACGGCGGAGCTTCCGCGGGTGGCGCATTGACTCTCCAGTCCGGCCAAAGTACGTCAGCGAGTGGTGGTGGCGTTGCGATCACAGCAGGCAACGGCGCTGCGGGTGGTGGTATCCAACTCACAGCCGGCACTGGCAGTACAGGTTTGGGTGGCTTCATTGCGCTCGCTGCTGGCCAAGGAACTGCTGGAAACGGTGGTTACGTTGAAATTGCCAGTGGATTTGGTGGTGGAACGAGTGGTTCCATCACTGTGTCGGCATCAGGAGCGACTGGAAATAGTGGCACCGTCACTATTTCGACTGGGACGTCCAGCACTGCATCCGCCGGTGCGATCTCGATTGCCACCGGCGGGACGACGACTGGCGTGGGGTCCGCGATCACGTTGACGTCTGGCACTAGTGCCAATGCAGCTGGTGGTACAACATCACTTGTTGGTGGAGCTGGTACCGTCGGTGGCGATGTCCAACTGCGAGGGGGTGCTGGAAGTAGCGCCACAGATACCGGCGGCGGCAATGTCAACCTCAGCGGTGGCACCGGCACGTCGAGTACTGGTGGTAACATCAACTTGGTCACTGGCGCCGGAGCGACAGCAAAGGCGAGTGGTCACATTACCTTGTCTTCCTTGGCTGGCGCTATCACGAGTGGAAGTATTTCACTCCAAACGGGTGCAGCTAGCGCTGGATCAGGTGGCGTGATCTCGGTGACAGCTGGCTCAAGCTCAACCGGAGTTGGAAGCGCAGTCACTGTGACTGCTGGTGAAGGTGCCAGCAACACTGGCGGCAAGTCGAGAATCGTCGGTGGCCGTGGCACTGTCGGAGGCGATGTGGAATTGGCTGGTGGTGTAGGTACCACAGGAATTGGAGGCAGCATTGTGCTTCTGAGTGGATCTGGAGTTGGCACAACCGGTGGGGTGACCCTTTCCACTGTCGGCGGTGCGATTAACAGCGGGGCGATTGCGCTGTCCACTGGCACGTCCACGTCTGGTGCTGGCGGAAGCATATCATTGTCGGCTGGTGGAACTTCCACCGGTGCGGGAACAGCCATTACGATTACGCCGGGTGTAAGTGCCGACAGCACTGGCGGAAAAACCTCCGTCTTCGGCGGTGCAGGTGTCGTGGGTGGAAATGTCGAGCTTACTGGTGGCACTGGGACAACGGCAGCTTCTGTTGGAGGCGGGAATGTTGTCCTGTCTGGTGGTACGTCGACACAAGCAACGGGCGGTGGGGTCACCCTTGTCAGTGGTGCTGGAGCTGCAACGATGGCCAGCGGGCAAGTTACAATATCGACGTTGGCCGGTACCTCTACTACCGGCAGCATCGCCCTAGTCTCTGGAGCGGCCACTGCAGGCTCTGGAGGTGCTATCAGCGCGACCGTTGGCGCCAGCTCGACTGGAGTTGGCAGCTCCGTCACGATGACCGCTGGCAACAGCGGCGACAACACTGGTGGTAGAGGGAGACTCATCGGTGGTCAAGGCACAGCTGGTGGCAACGTTGAATTGACTGGTGGTGTGGGAACATCAGGCCTTGGTGGCAACATCTTGTTGACGAGTGGCCTTGGAACGACTACAAGTGGTGCCTTGACGCTCTCGACCGTTGGTGGCGCCATCAACAGCGGCGTTATTTCGTTGCTTTCGGGAGCGTCTACATCTGGTAATGGTGGCAACATTGTAGCAACTGTTGGAGGCAGTACAACAGGAGCTGGTGGTGGCATCACTCTCACGTCGGGGTCCACTTCGGCTACCGGTGCTACTGGTGGAAAAACATCCCTTTTTGGTGGTGCTGGCCCCGTCGGTGGAAATGTGGAGCTCACAGGGGGCACTGGTAGCCTGTCCACTGGCCTTGGTGGTGGCAACGTCGTCTTAACTGGTGGAAGTGCCACTAGTAGCACGGGCGGCAGCATCAGCCTTGTCACGGGCTCTGGCGCGGCAACGGCTGCCAGTGGTCGAATTTCGTTGTCAACATTGGGTGGGAGTGCCACGAGCGGGAGCATTTCACTTGTAACCGGCGCCGCGACCAGCGGATCGGGTGGTGTGATTGCGATCACAGCAGGTTCAAGTTCGTCGGGAGTCGGAAGCTCGGTGACGACCACGGCAGGCGCCACCACTGGTAACACCGGTGGCAAAGCAAGTACAATCGGTGGTCAAGGCTCAATTGGTGGGAACGTCGAACTCACGGGTGGCGTCGGTACTGCCGGTGCTGGTGGTACGATCCTCTTGACTAGTGGCTTGGGATCCACGGCGAGCGGTGCTGTTACGCTTTCCACTGCCGATGGAGCCATGAACAGCGGCGCGATATCGCTCCTTTCGGGCACGTCTACGGCTGGTACTGGTGGTAATATTGTCGCCACTGTCGGTGGCAGCTCCACTGGAGTCGGTGGCTCTGTGAGTATAACCGCTGGAGCTACATCGTCGACCACTGCGGCCGGCGGGAAAGCGACGTTGCTTGGTGGTGCTGGTGCAATTGGTGGTAATGTCGAGCTGACTGCTGGCGCCGGGACTATTTCATCGGCGACGGGTGGCGGCAATGTCATTCTGACTGCTGGCGCTGGCTCTGCCAGCACTGGCGGCAGCATCAACTTGATCAGTGGTGCTGGAGCATCCACAGCTGCAAGTGGTCAAATCACATTGTCAACTTTGGCTGGCACGAGTACCAGTGGCAGCATTGTTCTGTCAACGGGCTCTGCCACAGCGGGGTCTGGTGGGGTCATTACAATCACAGCTGGTGCCAGCTCCTCCGGCGTCGGTAGTGGTGTGACTATCACTGCTGGGAGTACCACTGGTAATACTGGTGGCAAGAGCAGTGTTGTTGGCGGGACCGGCTCTGTTGGTGGCAACGTCGAATTGTCCGGTGGTGCTGGTTCAGCTGGCGTGGGTGGTGACGTCGTGTTGTTCAGTGGGACTGGCTCAACGACAAGCGGAGGTGTATCGTTGTCTACCGCTGGCGGAGCTATCAACAGCGGAGCGATTTCGTTGTCAACGGGAGCATCCACGTCGGGAACTGGTGGGCCAATATCCCTTTCTGTCGGGGCTACGTCCACAGGAGTTGGAAGCGCCATCTCCTTGACCCCAGGTGCGAGCGGCGACGACACTGGCGGCAAGACAACCATTGTTGGTGGCTCTGGTGTTGTTGGTGGAAGCGTCGAATTGACTGGTGGTACTGGCACTTCATCAAGCAGCGTGGGCGGTGGCGACGTCATTTTGTCTGGTGGCACTGCAACCCTAGGAACTGGTGGTACCGTCCACCTCATTAGTGGTGCCGGTGCTGCATCCAAGGCAAGCGGACGGATTGTGCTCTCCACTTTGGCTGGTGCAGCCACAAGTGGTAGCATTTCGCTCACTACGGGTGATGCCAGTGCTGGATCTGGAGGCACCATCAGCATCACCGCGGGGTCATCGTCGACTGGTGTTGGCAGCGCCATCACTGTGACTGCGGGCAGCAGTGGAGACAATACTGGTGGTAAAAGCAGAATCGTCGGTGGCCAAGGCACCGTGGGTGGCAACGTCGAACTGACCGGTGGCGTTGGGTCCGCTGGTGCTGGTGGCAGTGTGATCGTCAGAACTGGATCTGGTTCCACTGCCAGTGGAGCGTTGACGTTGTCCACCCTTGGCGGTGCCATCAATAGCGGTGTCCTTTCGCTGCTGACAGGCACGTCAAGCGCGGGAAGCGGCGGAAATATCGTTGCCACAGTCGGAGACAGCTCAACCGGTGTCGGTGGGTCCATAACGATGACCGCAGGCATGACGGCTTCGACCACACTCGCGGGTGGGAAAACGTCGCTCATCGGTGGCGCAGGTGCCATCGGTGGCAACGTTGAGTTAACGGGTGGGTCTGGAACTGGCTCAGCCGCTGGAGCTGGTGGAGGCAACGTTGTGCTGACTGGTGGTGCGGGATCCGCCAACACTGGCGGTAGCATCAACCTCATCAGTGGTTCAGGCTCAGCCACCAAAGCGAGCGGTCGCATCACGCTCTCAACGGTGTCCGGTGCTGCTACCACGGGTAGTATTGCTCTGACAACGGGCACTGCGACCGCTGGTGCGGGTGGTGGAATCACCTTGTCCGCTGGTGGAAGTTCGACGGGAGTTGGCAGCTCGATCGACATTGCTGCTGGGTCCAGTGGCGACAACACGGGTGGCAAGAATACCCTTACTGGCGGACAAGGTCTTGCCGGTGGGAGCGTTGAGCTCACGGGTGGTATGGGCACCACAGGCGTCGGCGGCAACATCATCTTGGTTGGCGGCGCCGGAGCGTCGGGCTCGACGAGCGGAGGAATTACCCTCTCGACGGTCGGAACTGGCATGTCCAGTGGTGCTATTGCACTCACGACGGCAGATTCGACCACGGCATCGAGTGGCGCGATTTCGTTGTCAGTCGGGTCCAGTTCCGCTGGCATCGGGAGCGCTGTGTCTGTCACTGCTGGTGCGAGCAGCCTCTCGACTGGCGGAAAAGCGTCCATCACCGGTGGCGCAGGCACTGTCGGTGGGAACGTCGAACTGCGAGCGGGAGCGGGTTCGTCCACGCTGGGTGGCAATTTGTTGTTGGTGTCGGGGGCTGGCACCACCGTCGGGGGTTCTGTTAATGTCCGCCTTGGCGCTGGGTCGTCGAGCGGGTCGTTTTCTGTTGCTGATGCGTCTGCATCGTCGTTGCTCACGGTCAACCCATCGTTGCTCGCCGGCGCGTGCGCAGCCATCACGCTGAGTGCCACTGCATCAAGTTTGTCGCTGGCGTCGACGGGCGTGGTGCTCACCGGGACAAGCACCAAAGTCACCGGAGGCAATCTTCTCGTGGACTCGAATGGGTTCGAGATTAGCAACTCGGGCACTTCCATGTTCACTGTGTCGAACGCCGGCAACGTCATGGCGGCTGGCACGGTCGAGCTCACCAAGGACGCGGCCTCGATCACTCACTCTGGCGCGACGTCGCTCTCGGTCACGACCCCGTCGTTCTCGCTTACAGTCACAAACGACATCACGCTCGGGTCGGCCGCGCAAACGGCGCCTATTACGTTGAACGGTCCGATCACCGCTGCGACTTCGATCGACATTGGAACGGCGGCCACGATTGGCACCACACTCACTGTTACGTCGACCACCAACCTCCACGGACTCGTCAAGGTGCCGGGGGCATTCACGTCGTCGTCGATCACGTCGACGACTAGCTGCACGCAAGGCGACTTCCGCTTCGACACGACCAATCTGTACATCTGCGTCGGCACAACGTTCAAAAAGGTCACGTACACGGCGTGGTAAAGCAATCGCTTTCGTCGGCATGAAACGTAGTTAGGTGCATCTTGTGGATATTTGCATAATGGACATTTCATACATGTGAAAAAAAAGAATTTTGTTTGGTTCCACGATGGGCGTTTCGTAACAGAAAAGATTTCGCAGCAAGTGGAATGGCCGCGCCATCGCCTCCGAAGACCGCGACGGCGGGCCCCGAGGTTGCAACCTTCGCCATCCCAACGGACAGCACCATGGCGGCCAAGGCAAAGAATCGCCCGGACGATTCCAACTTTACTCAGCAGACTCTTCCGATGTGGACCCCCATATTGACGTTGCGGTGGTCGGTAGGGGTGCTCGTCGTCGGCACGATTGCGTGTTTCGCGCTGGGAGGGCTGGTCCTCCACCGATCGATAAACTCTAGTGTGTATCGAGTTGTGTACGACTCGTTGGCCGCGGTGGAATCCAACCAGTCGGACGGAAGAGTGGCGTACGCCGACAAGTGCCACTTGGCAACGCCTCGCGAAGCCAATTCGTTCTCTGGCACCAAGACGTGCTTCGTCACGATCAACCTGCAGCGCGACATCGTCGGCGACACCCTCGTCTTCTATGAACTCAGTCCATTCTACCAAAACCACCGGCGGTACATGACGTCGCAGCTTCCGCAGCAGTATATGGGCGGGTGGCAAGTCGGGGACACCACATCGGCATGCGACCCCATCCTCACTTCGCCAAGCTCCGTCCTGTGCAACGGCACGCTGTGCTACGGAACCAACAAGTCGCGCCAGCACTACCCGTGTGGGCTTGTGGCAAACACCATGTTCAACGATATTTTCTGGTACGAGTGGCACATCTTCCTCAAACCCGCGTGGCCTTGAATGCATTCGATCTCTTTTAGGTTGCACAACGGGTCGCTTCCGTCGGGCCAGCAGCTCGGCCCCACAGACCTCGTTCACACAGGTCCGTCTCCCTCTCCGCGAGAGCGACGTTGCTGAGAAGATGGTGGCAAGTTTAGGAATTGCCCGGACATTTCAGTCGTACAACTTTGCCAATCCATCGCGAGCACTTGATCTTGACTCGTTCCTTCCGATTTGGCACAACCCCAACTATAGCCGCATCATCCCACCGCCTGGAACGTCCATGCCGCCCCACGTACGTCCCGATTCGATTCTAAGAGTTGGCTCTCGTCCGATTCTTCTTGACTCTGCACGACTAGATCACTTCAGACTACACGAACAGCACCGCGTGGACGACCGTCTCGCCCGGCACGGGGGTCGAAAACGAATTCTTTCGCGTGTGGGTCCATCTCGCGGCCGGCAACGTCCTGCGCAAGCCGTACGGCCGCGTCGCCGTGCGGAACCTTCCCGCCGGAACCACGCTGACGTTTGCCGTCCAGTCCAACTATTACACGGATGGTACAGTTCCTGTCCTCGTGGGTCGAATGCATCTGCTCAAGTTGGTGGGTCAGGGGCGAAAGCTATCGTGGTCGGCGAAGTGACCTGGTTCGGCAGCGAAAACGTGCCTCTCGGGATTGTATTTCTTGTCGCGGGTAGTGTATGCTTTGTTGCGACGGTCGTGCTTGCGTACAAAGCGATCTGGAACCCCCGGCGGCTTGGCGACGTCACAATGCTCAAGTGGAAGTTGCAATAACTCTTCATCACTGATAATACGAAACCACTCGAGGTGCGTGTCGGTGCATTCATGTGCAAGCCAGCGTCAACTCGATGCATGGGTCGTGGACAGCGCCTTGGTGGCGCGACGACGACGGGCGGAATCAAACATTTCGCAAGGCCAGATCCGTGGCACGTAGCTCGACGACAAAGAGCAGCAAGCCGGTGGGCATAATCAATCAATCGGAGAATGGCGCTCGTGCCGTTGAATGAGGACACGGCGAAGCCACGAGCTGAATGAAGCTGCCGTTGCTGGGACGGCGATGAGCATGGCGTAAAATGAGTTCATCTCGGCCGTCGCAATTTCGATTGGGTACTCGCCACTGGCGTCGATGAGCACAATGGATAAGTATGGAATTCCTGCAGCCTGGTGGGCTGCTTGAATGGCCTGGCTGCTTGGAAGACCCCATGTGGGCGCAAATGTCACGCGGACTACGTCGATCCAGCACACTTCCATTTTGTCGTGCACGATGGCACAGTCGAACGAGCCGTGGTGGACGGCATCGAAAGAAAGCACTAAATGAAGATGAATGAGATGGGATCGACCGAGTGTTCCAGTAGCTTACCGAGTAGCTGGTGGGACATTGCGTCCAAGAACGCGATGCGGCACAACCTCTGCCTTTCGACGACGTCGAGAGCATCCTGGATATCCCGTGGTGTGTCGAGAATGACAGTGAGACTGCCTTCGTTGCATGAGTACTCGACGCATGCATCGTGTATTCTAATGTCTGCATGCATACGAATGTGCATCGTTGTATTTGTGGAGGCGAATGGCACGGCGATCGCTAGGAGGTAATGCGCCGCAGAGTAATCCACCGTGACAAGGGCATTGGGATGTGTAGCGAGGAGAACGTTTACCAAGCGGTTCCATGGATCCGTGGCGGCAATGCACGTGCGCATGTGATCTTGAACGAGGTGGACGAGGTCAGCACGAGTCCACGATATCCCCACCGATCCGATGACTACGTTATCGCACAAGACGGCTTTTGATCTATCGCCCGAGGAGCTCCCAAGGGACGATGGGGTCAGCCTGAAGTCCTCAGCATCTTGAACCTTGACGACGTATTGCCGCCTGCCCAGCGTGACCTCGACTAGTTGGCCAGAAGGAGCTCCATCCACCCCTCGAAGTTCCTTCATGATGCCAAGGGAATTTAAACATGAGGGATTCTTATCGTTCATTGGATAATAATCACACCCAATGATTACTGTAAAAAATAAATATTAATAGCCAATCAAAACACTTCCCTCTTGGTCCTCCATCCTACACAGAATGCATGCGTGCTGCCACGGCCTGCGGTGAAATGACGACGAGCGCTGCAGCGCTTTCTCTCCGCAAGCTCCAAAGCGGCACACATGCCGGCGCAGGTTTACACACACACAACTCCGTTACGACAGGAATTCGTTCAAAGGATGGTTTGGGTGGTGGCCGCCTTGACAGGCACAATCGAATCGAGTTACTCTTTGGGGGGAATTGCTTCCGTCTCAGTGTCGGTGACGGTCTTGGCGAGAGCTTCAACGGGCGTCCACGGGGCTGCGTCATTCACGGGGAGGTCCCAGTTTGGAGCATGAACACGGGTGCCTGGATGGGTACTCACAGGCTTGTACGACGTCTCGCCGGTCTGCGATGGCTTCCACGTGCAGGGAAGGAGCGAACCAAAGAGCAAGTGCTGGATAACAGGGAACTTCTGGAGCACTTCGCCTTCGTATAGCTTGAGCATGCCGCCGTTGATCTTGTCCCACGAGTGGACACCGCTGATGTCGTTCAACATGGGCGACGTCTCGGCAAACGAGCCCGACGACTTGACTTCGCGTACGAACCGGACCGCATCGAGGTATAGGTACTCGCCGCGATGGAGCTCCAGCATTGCGTCATCATGGACGCAGCTCGGAGCCAAGTTCGTCTGCCCGACGAGTTGGGACGATCCGAAGTAGAACGGGAGGCATTGGTAGTCGTCAAGGCCCCACACGCCGTGGGAACCCGCGGGCTCGAGCATGTACACCTTTTGGAGGCGTCGCATGACGGTCAAGTATGCGTTGAAGATTTTGAGTACAATCGCAGGAAAGTCGGCCAGGCTGAGGAACCCGACTTTGTGCAATCCGCCTGCATGAACGCCGACATTAGCGATGGGAAGGACTGACGACATGACGTACAGAGCCAGATGATGAAGCTGGTTTCGTGCCCCGTGCCGTAGTCGATACGCACGCGGTTACCAAAACTGTCGATCAAGTATGGGCACAACTCGATCGCGGCAGGTTTCACTTCGGAAGGTTCTAGGATAGCTTCGTGGAGACGGGGAGATTCCTAGAGGCATAAAGGATCAGTGGGGGGAGGGTGGGCGAGATAGGCACAAGGACAATCGTACATCCACCAAGCGGTCGTACCACATCCGGAATGCCTTGTTTCCGAATCGCATTGGCTGGGCAATCGGTGGAATCTCGTCGATCCACGCGTTCAACGTCGAGAGCAGCGCCATCACCGACTCGACATTCTACGCTTCATTCTCAATTCCGGTGTCAACGTGTGGATATATACCTTGGACACAGGGACATCATCCGTGAGTTTCTTGCCTTTGACGGATTCGTTCAGATGCTTGACAAAGCGCAGGATGTTTTCATAGGCCTACACCCACAACATCAAAAGAGACCTGTCCCACCATTGCCACATGCATACATACGCTTGATCGGAGGAACTGGCGCAAGTCTGCTTCCGAGAAGATCGAGCGCTGGGGAATCACGTATGGCGTCGCCATCTTTTTAGTGTTTGTCCGTCCTGCAGGATTTTTGGGAGATGAACTCGTTAATTCCGGATAATGTTATCCGGGTGTTTGATTGTAGGACCTTTTTGTGGCGCCAAAGATTTCGCCATGCTCATGCCGTGGGCAGGAAGGAAGCAAGCCACCGTCCACGTTTCAGAACTCCCGACGCATAGCGTTGTGGAGGGGGAATTGGCAAGGAGACAGAGAGCTGCGTTAGAGGAACGATTTCTGTTTTACACGTCTCGGGCTTAAATGTCTTCCTGCGACTTGCGCACAATGCGGCGGCAATGCTTTTTGAATGCTTCCTTGTTGGTCCTCCATTCGACGGCAGCATCAATGTTCGCAGGCGAGTCGTCGTTCGGGTCCGACAACATCGAAATCACAGACACCAGAATCGCTTCCACACCCAAAATTGGACGCCATCGCTCGTCCGCCGACTCTTGTGCGTTCATACGGTCCTCACCAGGTGGATGCAAAATAGATATGCACACGACACCGTTCGGGTACACGTTGGGATGCCACATCTCCGACACAAACGTCATTTTCGGTGGCATGTTGGGGAAATCCTTGGGAAATTCTAGCCGGGCCTTGAAGAACGCGCCTTCGTACAAGGTATCGGGTGGACCAACGAGCATGATTTCCCAGTTGAACAGGTTTTCGTCGTCCCCCAAGCCGACGCTCACTCCCTCCGGCGGATTGCGGCTCAGTTCTGCCATTGCATGGGAGATGTAAGACTAGTCTACGAGACCATCACATACCTGTAAATTGTCGACGTAAAAGTTCTCGACCGTAGTCCATCGTTCCTTTGCGTCTGTCGCTGGTTCCGACGGCTGTAGCTGTGGTCCGGAGGGAAGAATTTCGATTGTGTTGGGTGTTGTGGAAGTCGACGTGCTGTCGCCATGAATTGGCTAAAATACGTAACAATTGATCCAATCAAAATCGACGATTTGCTCAATATTCGATAATATATCGCCACAAAGGGGAAGACTTCTAGAAAACGAACGTTTCCATCGTTCGTGGAGATCATCAGTATGGAACGGGACGAGATCATGGACGGCTAAAGGACGGAGAGCATGCTCAATATGAGATGCCAGGAATGAGTTCGGTTTGGCGTTATTAGTTTGGAATCACTGCGTCCCCACGGCGCCGATGCAACTGGTCGATCTGACGTGCAAACGATGCCATTTCGGCCTTGGACGACGCGAGGGCTGCCACGTGCTCGAGGTGCGTTTCCTCCATAACTTCAAGCGTACGACGCATCATATCGTACGAACTGTCCCCGGCACTGGTGGCAAGGTGCTTTCGCAATGCATCCAAGTGTTTCTTGTGAGCTTTCCAGGATTGTCGCCTCTCTTGCCAATACAGCATTCGACTCTCCATGTCGCGCACGACGCGTTCAATGTCATCACCCTCTGACTCTGCTGAGGCATGTAACCTTCGAGGTGCTTGCGACATTGGCATGGACATGCCATACTTTTCGATACCAACGTGCATCGCGGCGGCGGTCGATTCCTTCGGTCTTGTTGTTGTCGACGGAACAAAATCCCCGTCGTAGAGTAGTTCAAGAGGCTTCCTCGGAGGCAGGCGGTGATGTATCGTTGTCGCCACGGCAACGCTCGCCATCCCCAGCGGTTGAATCACTTCCTCAGCACGTCTTGCTTTCGTCGGCAGCGGGTGGAATGCCACCGCTTTGTTCTGCCGGCCTCCTTGAATAATTCTGTGCTTGGCGACATATCTCCAGTGGGCAGAAATCCGCGCGACTCTTCTCCATAGACGCGCAGCGACCGTTGCTGCGTGAGTCTGGACTTGAAGGAGGCGCTGTTCACGAAGTGCAAAGGCTGCTTGCGCCCAGTGTACAAGTCCAACTTGGAGAAAGTGCGCGTGCCGCCATTCCAGCGCCTCCGTAATCTTCTCAGGACGAACTTCTGCAGCAAATGGTGCTATACCTCATGGAGATGATACCGCTTGGCTTGGCGTGCTCGAACTCGAAGTAACCATCCGTGGAAAGCCTTTCGTTGCATGGACAGCTTCCAGTGCGCCAACGCCGTGACCGTTTGAGCCCGTGAAGTCCTGCATACAACCGCGCTACGAACGCATTGGCATGAAGCTCGTAGAACTAAGCGCATGATGGGGAGACGAACTTGTGACGCCAGTTCGAGAGGACGTGTTTTCGCACGACATGCGCGCGGTGTTTCGCTGCACGAAGATACAGAATTTCGTCCCATCGACGCATTCCCACATACTGCACCCATGCGTCAAACACGCGCGTCGTTACGGCCACTTGCCAATGAGTTCGAGCTTGATAGCTATGCAGAACAGTGAGCAGGGTCGATATTTGGCGCCACAAGCAGGATGTACTGGACAAGTTGCTGCGCCAGTCTGCGCTGGACAAAACAGCGCCATCTTTCAAACGCTTGAACCACGTGAGCTCGACTGGTCTGTGCTTGATGGCGTTCGAACCCCGCTTCTGCTTGGACGCGGCGCTGATTGCGAATCGCGAGGACTTCCCGCCATCGTGAAAAAGACCGGCGAAGAAGCTGTGCAAGGGTGTAACGAAGAAGAACAAGGTCAAAGTATGTAGTTTACCGAAGTGCGATGAAAGTGCTCGGCTGTTCGGACCAAACGAGTCCGCTGGACGGCACGTTGGTGGAATCCCTGCCACGCATGAAAGGCACATTGCGTCCAATGCAAGCGGAATTTGATGGCTTCGCGCTGGCGCTGATGAACGTAGGTGCTCCATCGGTAAAAAACCCGCGCTTGGACCTTTCTTGTTGCGACGCGTTCAATCAACTGCCGTCTCGAATGCTGCTGCCGGCCAAATTGCTTCAATCCTTCAAAGACCTTGTGCAGCAGCAGAAAGTAGTAGAATCGAACTGCCTTGCGTCGCTTCATCTCTTGGTCGAACTTCTCTTGCGCTACTCGGGCCCATGCCTTAAAGACCCGCCGCAACAGATCAACGCCATCCTGTGTCGACGATGCCAGCTCCCCGACAGCCATGGTGCACTAAGATTTGGACAACCAATCACCAAGTTTAGCGTATTCACACTATTTTCCGTATAATTATTTGAAATACAACCGTCAAATTAATGTCAGTATAGACGGATATTTCAAGTCGGGCACCTGTAGAAAGTAATAGCGTCGTGTGTCGAATAATATATGATTGTTGTGTCAACTTTCCTTCGCGCCATGCATACCTTTGATAATACATTAAGACACTCTCAGTATTCATATTATACTTCGAAGTATTCATTATAGAGAGTGGTATCTCGTTTTGAGAGGTTTTTGCGTGTCGACAAGCGTGCGAATTGTGCGCATTCACCTGGGCCATCCATGGGCACTTTCAATTGCCTCGAGGGCGTCCAGTGTCCAGGTGTTACTTCAAGAAGCCCCCAGGAAAGCTCGATTGCATGTGCTTATCGCACCAGAACAAGAATGAAGTCATCGAGTGTATTTGCAGCATTCGGATCCAAGAAGCCTCGCACCGAGATACCAGTATGTACTGCAATTTCCATTCCCAATTCAAAATGTCAAATTCAATGTCTAATTAAAAGTATTCCCTATCTGTCCGTAGCGGTACAAAGAAACTACATCTTGCTAATTACTACGTAGTAATCGACCTCATGAGGTTCAACGTGCCTCAGCTCCACGAGCCAAGTCACTTGTCACGGTGATAAGCACCCCCTCAACTCCAAGTATTCGTTAATCGTGATGGAATGGCGTGTGCAACGAGCATTTGCGGCCAGCCGTCGGCGGTGCGTACACAGTACGTTCGCTGCTCTGCCTGCAGAAGTGCGGGAGGTGTCCGGATACGGAAGTCTCCTGGAGTACTTAATCGAATGGTCGTTACAAACCCAACACTCGATTCTATCATCATTTACTTTAATGAAAGCACTGAGGGAGGGTGCATTGAACCTCCATGGAAAATGACTTGACGTTTGTATGTTGTGCTGTGTGGAGGAAGATCCGGATACGAGTGGTTCAATTCCATTGAAATCGAGCATTTGGGAATTGACACACGATGGCCCGCGCCCAGAATTTTGACAACGCGTCGATTGACGAAATCAATGCCGCCATCGACAAGACAGCCACGAAGATCCGCGAATTGCGCGACAAAAAGCAAAACATGGCGGACATCGCTTTGGAAGTCAAGCAGTTGGTCACGCTCCGACGGCTGTTGAAGGAGAAGGTTGAAGGGGGCGGGCAACAAGTCGGTTCTCAAGGCACTGCTCCAGTAACCCCTGTCAAGTCAGAAGAAAATGCGGAAACCAAGCCGGTGATCGTGAAGCCGCCGACCGATGAGCAAGTCAAGCGTGTCGAAACGGCCCCGGTCGCCTCGAAACCAACTGTGTCGTCCCCCGACGTCGCCACAGAGGCACCCGAAACTCCCGCAAAGACGGTACTTGCATCTGCAAATGACAACGACAAAACAATCTCTTCGTTGGAGTCCGAGTTGGCCGCTACAGTGGCCAAATTGGGATCGGAGCAGACTCGTGCGACGAGTCTTCAAGAGGAATTGAATCGCCAAGTCCAGAAATACGACATTGAAATCACCACCTCCAACAACATGCAACAACGTCTTCAAAACGATATGAAGAAGTTGGTGCAGGATAAGCTCGAACTGGAACGATCCCTGAGAGTGGCCAAGGAAGCCCACGCCGCCGCACTCTCCGCTGCGAATGACGCGTTGCAGGCCACCCAAGACAGTTTGGCGAAAGAATCTCAAAGTTTCTTGATTCTCAAAGCTGCAGAAGCTGAATCCCAGCAAGAGGTGGCGACGTTGAAGGCCAAGCTAGCGGATACCCAAGATCGAGTCACACAATTGACGTCGGAACTGGACACACTTCGCAACCACAGCCGAGAGCAAGGCTCGCTACTGCAGGTACCAATCATCGAATCTGCATCTGCATGTATTCACATCCACGTTGCATCTTCACAGCAAGCTCAACGCGAACTGGAACGCGAACGTGTACGGTTCGAAATGGAGTTGGACGCTGAGAAGAAGCTGCAGACCCGCATGCACAACGAAGCTCGCCGTTATTCCCTCGAGCGCCAATCGTCCATGGACCAGCTCAAGGCGACCCTGACGGAAGCGGAGAAGTTGCAAGCATCGCTGGCGGAAACGACAGCCGCAAATGCCGAGTTGCAGGATTCCATCGTCCGTCTCGAAGCCGAACGTGCGACAAGCCAGGGACTATTGAAGACTCTCGCGTCAGATGTGCAAGCTCAAAAGACCGAATTGGACCGCTTTGAGAAGGCCCAGGCCGAGTGGGAAGTAGAGAAGCAACACTTGGAGTCGCAAGCGGCGTCGCACGACGCCACCAAGGCTAAGTTGAAGGCAATGGAAGCCCACAACACCGAACTGCAGGCGTTGATTTCGGTGGGTTTGGGCTTGGTGAAGTTGGATGGCTGCTTCACGTGTTTTGTCGATGTAGACAACGGGGACTGAAACGAAGGCATTGGAAGCCAAGTTGGCCAAGTTGCATGCTGCTCAAGACGCTCTGACCGCGGAAAAGGAGTCGCTGCTGCACCACGTGACCAAGACGGAAGCCGATTTGGAAGCTCTCGCCCGCATTCAAAAGGAGAACGATGAGCTCCAGCGAGCTATTAACGTACGTGTCAACCCAATGGAGTTAACGAATTGCCAAGGGTATTACTTCGATGAAAGTGCTAACGAGTACGTCGAAGGACATGAGCAAAGCCTCAGAGAGCACCCATGAAAAAATGGACGGCCTCAAGCGCGCGTTGAAGACTTTGGAATCGGAAAAGGCGGGTCTGTTGCATCACGCGACCACGAACGACGTACATGAAGCCACGATTGCGCAGCTGATGCTGGAAAACACCCAACTCCGATCCACCGTCACCGTACGTTGCCCTTTGCGTTCCCTCATGGCCTTAACCACGCGTGTACAGGACAAAGTGGCGGCAGCGGAAGCAGCGGTCAAGCGCATGACGGTGGCAGAGTCCAAGTTGCAGGACACTCAGTACATGATGACGACAGAGATGCTCAAGGTGGCATCGCTGGAGAAGCATGTCGTCAAGTTACAGACTGACCTGTCTACCGTCACGACGCAGCACACCGCCGACTTGCGTGCGAAAGAAGCCGAGGCCAAGAAGGCTGTCGCAGACTTCCAAGCGGCCGAAGCAGCCCTGTCACAACTTCAACGATCGACGGAAAAGGCGTCGAATAACATTGCTGCCAAGGACGAAGCGCTCAAGGCCGCCAAGGCGTCGGCGGCTGCGTTGCGGACCCAAGTCGTTGAAGCCAAGAACGAATTGGTGAACGTACAAGGCGCGTTGAAGCAAGCCCAAGCCGACTTGAAGGCCGCGACGAAGGGCGACAAAGACGAAGCTGCGCGCCTGCGCAAGGAAAATGGCAAACTAGCGGACGTGATTGCCCAGCTCCGCAAGAGTGCCAAGGACACACAGGACTCCCAAGCTGTCGTCAAGTCGCTAGAAACCCAACGCCTCCTTCTCATCGGCGTCCTTGTCGCTCTAGTTGGCGTGCTGGCGGCGGCTACCTTCTCGAAGAGTTCTGCATAGAGAAACACAAACGTGACGCCGTTTCCGGCCGGGATGTCTCCAAAGTAGCGTAAATGGACACTAATTGCCAACGGCGTCGGACAGAAGACTTTGTCACTTGCGGCGTCGTACACAGACCTTGTGACTCAGTCCTGCATCCGCTGCGTGTCACGGGATTCTGTCACGACGCAACATTGTCGTTGTACAACTCGATCACCCTTGATCAATGGAAACGATGCGGAGGTGGGCGGCGTCACCAAGTGGACGCGATGCTGGGACGTGCGGCACGCTGCCGTAGGGAACCATCTCATCGCTGTGCCACTACATAAGTCCTCTGGGCGAGGTTGGACCAAGACAGAGCTCAACGTAAGAGCTGCCGTTGCTTGTCCTCGTTCATCAAGTTGGCCACCCTGGCAAGTAGGACGCTACATCGAACCACGTTCCTGTCGCCATTGCCATCCAATTTGTAAGGATTGCATGCTCTCGTGGTGTTCCATGCCCGTCAAGTTGTGATGGTCCGGGCGATTTCCATGTCGTCCTATCATCGGATTGGCTTAAAACATATTTATCCACCAACCAGATGATTGGAATCCAAAATCGTGTCTTGGATTGGCAAAAATCGATTCCCTCGTCTCCGGATATTATCCGGAAATGCCGTTCCTGGCCCCAAGGTTTCCATCTTCACTGGGCAATAATTTTTGTATGGGAATTAGAATGGGCTGGAGGCGGGTTCTGCATCCGAGATGGTTTTATATTATATGGCCCGGAACAATTCAATCGTGGATTTGGAAGAGAGATGGCGGATGTGGCGCCGGTGCCGTACTGCGTATGTCAGAACACGGATGGAGGTACGTGGATCGGAGCGCCCATGGAGACGGCGTTCGTGTTGTGGACGACTTTCGACTCATGCTGGATGAGTAGCGGGAATCATGATCGAATGCATCCGCAACACGGGTGGTTGCAATGGATGGGTGCACCCTGCATGCTGCGGATTACTCCTGACGGAAGACGAGCTCGAAGCGATCGACAGCTACATCTGTCCCATGTGTGAATTGCCCACCGACGACTACACGAAGATGAAAGCGGTCAACACGAAACGTGCGAACAAGATTGCCATGAAAGCCCGCGACCAAAAAGGTAGTGCATCGACAGGAAGCAGCAAAAAGGACAAGAAACGAAAGCGGGACGACAAGGAGGACAAGGACGGCGGCGTGTATCGATGGAAATGCAAGATGTGTGCGCACAAGAACGATCCTTCGAGCATAACATGCATTTCGTGCGACGAACCACGCAAAAAGCACAAGCACAAAAAGACGTCTTCGTCGTCGCGTGATAACGATGGCAACGACACGGACGGCAAGAAAAAGAAGAAGCGCGAGAAGAAGGAGAAGAAACACAAGGAAGCCCGGCGCAGCCATCGCAGCGACTCGAGTACAAAGAAGGCGTATCACGTGCCCGGGTCGGACGAAGACGATGTCTCAGACGGGGGGTCCGAGTCCGAGTTCAACCCGCCACCGGTCGTGGGCGTATCATCCGTGGACTCACCTGTTGTGGCCGGGACGACGGCCGATGTCGCACTTCCGTCCACGAATGTAAACGACGGCGCGGCGGTCGTCATGACGATTGAAAAGATCATGGGGCACAAACCGGCCGATCCAGCAACAGTTGGCGCCACACTCGCGTCGGCGTTTGTGTACTTGATCAAGTGGAAGGGCTACTCTTACATCCATGCCACGTGGGAGTCGGAGGCGACGCTGCTGCAGATCGACCCGAACAACAAGCACAAGATCAAGCGGTACTTGGAAAAGGCGCACGTCTCGTCGAATGGTGTACCCCGCGCGCTGGACACGGAAGACGAAGTGGAGTACTTCAACCCGGAGTACCTTGAGATCCATCGCATCCTCGACATGCGGCGCGAGCCACCCACGGACCAAGTCGACGACGGATGGCGGTACTATATCAAGTGGCGCGTGTTGTCGTATGCCGAGTGCAGCTGGGAGCGCGCGTGTGACATTGTCGACGATGACGCGGTCAAGAAGTACCGAAAGCGGTCGACGGTACCGGCGGACGACCCGAAAGCACCGCTCGATCCATTGGCGCGACCGTCGCTCCGCGAGTACAAGAAGCTCGAAAAGTCGCCCGTGTTTGGCGAAGATAAAACGTTTACGCTTCGCGCGTATCAGCTAGAAGGCCTCAACTGGCTCCGGTGGAACTGGTACAACAGTCGGCCGAGCATCCTGGCCGACGAAATGGGGCTCGGCAAAACGATTCAAACCCTTGCATTTCTCGACGACTTGCGCGTGGTGCAGCACCTCCCAGGCCCATTTCTTGTGGTCGCGCCGCTCTCGCTGATTGCTCAGTGGCAAAGCGAGTGCGAGACGTGGACAGACATGGACTGCGTCGTATACCACGGGTCGTCCGAGGCGCGCGAAATTATCCAGCGCTTTGAGTTTTACCACTTGATGAACGGCAAGGTCGACAAGAAGAAAGGATTCAAATTTCACATACTCGTCACGACGTACGAGATTGCAATCAAGGACATTGCGCTGCTGAGCAAGATCCAGTGGCAATGCCTTGTCGTGGACGAAGCGCACCGACTAAAAAACCAAAGCAGTCGCCTCGTCGAGCAGATGCGAAGCCTGCGGCGCGCGTACTGTGTGCTCTTGACGGGAACGCCGCTTCAGAACAAAACAGAAGAACTGTGGGCGCTGCTCAATTTCCTCGACCCCGCGGCATTTCCGTCCCTGACAACGTTTCTTGGTCAGTTTGGCTCTCTCCAAGATGCGGGCCAAGTCGCCGACCTACACAAACTGCTCAAGCCGTACCTGCTCCGCCGTGTCAAGGAGGACGTGGAGAAGTCGTTGCCACCTAAGGAAGAAACGATCATTGAAGTCGAACTTACGGCGGTCCAAAAGCAATGGTATCGCGCCATCTACGAACGCAATACGGCATTCCTCATGCGGGGCCAAGGCAGCAACAACATCCCGAACCTCATGAACGTCATGATGGAACTGCGCAAGTGCTGCAACCATCCGTATTTGAACAACGGCGTGGAGGAAGCGATCTGCGAAGGCGCCACGACCGACGCTGACCGCTTTGACATGCTCGTCAAGTGTTGCGGGAAAATGGTCCTGTTGGACAAGCTCCTGCCAAAGCTGAAAGAAGGCGGCCACAAGGTCCTCATCTTTAGCCAAATGGTTCGTGTGCTGGACCTCCTCGAGGACTACATTCGTGGCATGGGCTACTTGTACGAACGCCTAGACGGGTACATCCAACACGTCTCCAACTGCCCCAAGCTCAAATTCGCTTGATTTTCGATAGAAATATTCGAGGCAACGAGCGCCAAGCAGCAGTGGATCGATTCGTCAAGCCAGAATACCAGCGCTTTATCATGATGCTGAGTACCAAGGCGGGCGGGTTGGGGCTCAACTTGACAGCGGCGGACACCGTTATCATCTACGACTCGGACTGGAACCCGCAGAACGATCTCCAAGCTCAAGCGCGAGCGCATCGCATCGGACAGACCCACTCGGTCAAGATCTACCGCTTGATCACACGCAAGACGTACGAAATGCACATGTTTCACAAGGCCAGTCTCAAACTCGGCCTCGATCGCGCCGTGTTGACGCACATGCGGCAAGAACAAGATAAGGAGAGCAAAAATGCAAAAGCGATGGTCAAGTCCAAGGTATTTCGTCCACGTTCTTTGAAATTTGCCACTAATGACGATTGGTTGTAGGCACAAGAGGCGCAGGAAATCGACGAATTGCTCAAGCGCGGTGCATACGACGTCTTTCGAGACGACGACGAAGCGTCCGAGCAGTTTTGTGCCGCCGACATTGACACGCTGCTCCAACGAAGCTCCCAAATCGTTGAGTACGAGTCGCAGGCGCGTGGGTCGTTTTCAAAGGCCAGTTTTGTCTCGGTAAGCCTGCATGCCACATACGATCTTACCATGAATACGATGGCTGATGCGACTACGATGCCCAGGCTGCCACGTCCGACGACGTTGATATCGACGACCCTGACTTTTGGAAAAAAGCGGTCGGGCTCGCGGAACCAGACGTTCTGGACGAGTCGGCGTCACTCGTCCTGAGTTCGCAGCGCAAGCGGACGCGTGTGGCTCGATTTGGGACGAAGGAGGTCATGTCAGACGACGACGATGACGACGACAAGGACTCGATGACCAAGAAGGACAAGGACGGCAAGGACTTGGACAAACCACCGAAACTCGAAGTGTCGCGGGAGTGGACCGTCAATGGCCGCGACCGACTGCAACGCGCGTTGATGCATTTTGGCTTTGGTCGATGGGAGATCATTCGCAGCCAGAGTGGTGGAAGCCGCACCGTGGAAGAAGTGGAGATGTTTGCGCGGGCGTTCGTGCTCTTGTGCGGGTTATGCTGCGCAGGAGTGCAGCCGACGGACGCGCCATTTGTTCAAAGTGCGATCTTGGCGGCGACGCACGTCAAGCATGAGTACTTGACCGAGGCGGAAGCGTGGACAGATCACGCCACCAAGACAATTCCACTGGTATGTGGGTGCAATTGAGACTTGTGTCGTACGAAGAGCCATCGACGTATTTCCGCGTAGGTCCTTCAAGAAGACGAATTTGTGCTCAAACTCAAGCAAGGCGGCGCTCGTCGCGTCCTGAGTCGACTGGACATTCTAAGTCGGCTGCAGGTCAAGTTGGTCGCATCGTGCGCGGCGCTGGAGAAGGAGCGCGAAGACGAGCCACCGCATGGCTTGGTCGACTTGGACGCGCGGGTCGAGTTTCTAGGCATGGACAACGTGCTCAACCGGCTGGACTTTGCAATTGGATCGGATCGGCCGCAATGGTCGAACTTGACGCCGTGGTGTGTTGCTCGTGTTATCTCTGTTCAATTTGTAACGTTGTGGGGGATGGTAGGTGGGATTCAGTGGCGGACAAGAGTTTGTGCATCGGCGTGTTTTTGCATGGCTATGGCCGGTGTGCCCAGATCATAAGCGACCCGCGGCTGTGCTTTCACCAGCGCGAGGCCGAGCACAATGGCGAAGGAAGCGACGTTGCAGAAGACAAGTTTCCCCAGCCCGAAGTTCAACAAATGAACCGGTTGCTCATTTGGCTGCTCTCAATTGAAGACGTCCAGCGCCAGAAACAGCAAGAGAAGAAGGAAAAGTCAATGTCGGACATGCAAAAGATCAACACGCTGGACCAATCGCAGAAACTCGCCGCCCAACGTCGCCAGGAAGCCATCACGTGGCAGTTCCTCCACCTCGACCTCATGCGACACGCCGTGGCGCTCGCCAACGCCAAAGTCTGGCACGCCATTCGCGAAGAAGGCACGACGAAAGCGATCAAAGAATGGAGCACCGCCGAACGACAGAGCATCTGCTACGTCTTGAGCGTCCGAGGCGCGCCACTTGTTGTCGACAGCGCTAGCCAGTGGAGCTGGTACTTGCTCGTGTCGGCTTCGCACATCCACAAGTCGGCGCTCCGGGCCCAACGATACGTGTATGACCGCGTGTTGGCCAAGTGCAAGGAACTAATCCTCAAGGACTCGTCGGCCGTGGCCAGACCCAACGAGATCCAGTTTGTCGATCCGTATCAAGCGGCGTCGTTGCACGGTGCGAAAGCCAAGCAAATGGCGTTTTTGCTCCTCCGACGCACACAAATCTACCGCACCGTGTCGTACTTGCTCCAGCACGAACGGGACGAACTGGACTCGGTCTTGCGTTCAGGTTGGTGCTTCCTCTTGTTGACTCCATCGTTGTACGCCTCACGAGTGGTGTGGTTTTGTGTAGGAGATGTCGTCCTGACTGAACGCATGCCTGTGTGGTGGTGCCCCTGGATTCACGACGCCGCGCTGTTGGAAGCGATGCTCACGCATGGCGTGGGGTCGTTCCTGGAGCTGCACAAACACAAGGCTCTGCATGTCGACGCAGTCTTTGACCACGTCGTTCGCGTGTTTCTCACTGGGGATGGCGCGACCCAACTCCCGGCGCTCAACCCATCCATGTTCCCGACGGACGCCGACAAATTTGCATGGGCGCGACAAACGAGTCTCGAGTTTCCGCCCGTGGACATTCTGGAGAAGAAGGTCATGCGTCTGTGTTTGATGCTGACGGAGGAACTCCTGCCAACTCACGAGGCCAAGTTTAGTATGGAGAACGACGTCGCCACCGCAGTGTTGCCCATGACTATGATTGATGCCGTCGTGAAAGACCAGCGAACGACCGCTCTGGCCGCTCGATTCGAGGCCGAGCAAGTTGCTCCGACGTCGTCGCCGACAGAAGACCTTATGGCGTTTGTTGCACGGACAAAAACCGCGCGGGATTTGTACGAAAAGCAGCAGCGCATCGTGTCCCATTGAACAGAGTTCTGATACCCAAATCTGTCTTCCTTGAACGTACAAGTCGAGCTACCTCGTCGTGTCACATTGACTTGCAGCGTGCTCCTCAAGTGGGCGAGCGTACTTGCCAGCTACCCGCACCAGCATCAACTGTCGGGCTCCATCAAGTCGATGGCATCACAGTCGCCATCATGAAATTGGTGTGTTTTAACGTACTCATTGTTTTCAGTCAAATAAATGTGTATATTTTATCGATTTCTGTGATAAATTTGGCCTCGTCGAGAGTTTGGATACGTTATCCGGATACTTTCCTCTGTTGGAAGTATGTCTGCCGATCATTTTGGATATATCGTCGTTCGGCCAATTCCATGGTGACTAGCGTCGTGAAGGTGCACCAGTTCAGCATGGCTGTGAGCGGCCTCCTTTGCACAATCGCCGCCGTGTGGAGCTTTGTCAATGATTCGTATGGTGGCTCGTTTCAAGGCAGCGTCGCGCGGATCTCGCTGAGGGTGTTCCAGATTGCGTTGTCTCTCGTTCTGCTTGCCACGACCGGTTTGGGTCTCAAGCGACCGCTCAAGTGGTTTGGACTGTTGGAGAGCTACGTCGGAAGTGGCTTGTACGCGATTTTCCTCGGGTTCTTCACCCTGAGCCTCGGCAACGACTTTGGGCTCTATTCCACCATCACGATCCTCGTCGTGGGATTTCTCAGCGTTTGCTACGGCTTGATCGTCAAGGACGAAAGCCACGACTATCCTCCTCTCCTTGCCTAAACCTGCGTCTTTAGAAGGGGAGGTGGCCGTAATAATTCATGGAACCACGTCTTTGGATCTTTGGCCGCTTGAATCGGCATGTTCCTCTTGTTTTTCGTGGCGAAATGGATACGATTGCGTCCTTGATGACGATACATATTAACATTGAGTACCATGTCCAGCTCAACTCCTTCGCGGGGAAAGGCATTCACAATGAACGTGCCCAGCAACGCTCTCGCTGGAGCGACGCCACACCCAAACACTCGCGTGCACACATACCATGGACTGCCAAAAAACAATACCAGACCTGGCAACATTACCACATTATCTCGGGGAGATAATGACTGGCCGCGCACCTTCCTCACCGCCGTTCCCCTCACCATTTCTCTGGGGCGGTGGCTCCGTGCTCGCATCTCGTCTCGGACGCAGACTCGGATCCACCGTTAGCGCAACTTCAAGCCACAGTTGACATTGCCAATCCGGATATCGTATCCGGTATCGTAACGGAGTTATCCAAGGTATCTTCAACACGGTCATTGTTAAAAACTCGGACGACGTGATGGGAAGAGCTGTTGTGAAGATGCATCAAATCGGCATGGCCGTGGCGGGCCTGCTGTGCACAATTGCCGCCGTGTGGGCGTTCGTGGGCGACAAGTACCATGACTCGTATCAGAACAGCGTGGCGCGCGTGTCGTTGCGAGTGTTTCAAATTGCGCTGTCGTTGGTGCTGTTGATGACGGCGGGGTTTGGCATGAAGCAGCCGCTCAAGTGGTTTGGGCTCTTGGACAGCTTTGTTGGAAGCGGACTGTTTGCGATCTTTCTCGGGTTCTTCACGCTCCATTTGGACAACGATTACGGCTTGTACTCGACGATTGTGATCATGGTCGTGGGTGTGCTCAGCATTTTGTACGGCATGTTTGTCAAGGACGAGCGCCACGACTACCCGCCGCTGATGGCTTGATGGCGCTTGTTGTTATGAAGACTTATGTAGCGAACCCACGACGAATGGAGAAAAATACATGGTCTCTCACATTCAGGACCCTTGGTTACATCTATTGAAATTTGCTGGGGGTCGACGGGTAAATCTAAAACTCTTGCATCCACTTGGCGTCACCCGTGTACGGCACACCCAAGTCGAGCGGTTGGGGCTTGAGCGCCGTGACCAGTTGCTCGAACTTGGCGGTTGCGATGGCGAGAAGCGGCGCCTACATTTGACGATCCCATCACGCGCTAGGTGATCCAAATCCATCGCGGTGTAGGCCTACCTTTGTCTCTTGGAGTTGGTCCCACTGCAAGCCGTTGAAGAACGAATGCTTGGGAACAGCACAGTCGCTGAAGGACTTTAACAAGCAATCGTCGGCGCCGAATCGAGTCGCTGGCGTCGGGTCCAAGAGCATCTTGATCAGGGACTGGAGGGCCGGAGATGACGTCGGAGGAAACTCGAGCGAGTCCTACGACCAGACGTCGAGTGGTGGGATTCAAAAACGGACGTACGGGAGAAAAGGCCACGATCCCGTTGAACATGGCGAGTTCATCTTGGTTGTGTTTCTCGAACGGCGTGGTGCCGACGAGCATTTCGTACAACAAGATGCCGAGGCTCCAGTAGTCGGTCACGAGGGATTGGCCTACATGCAAACTCGTATCAGTGCGTTGTGGCCACGATGAGCTGTCGAGGCACGGAAACACACACACCCTGGCCATTGATTTGTTCGGGCGCCAAGTATTCCGGATTGCCGCAAATGGTAAATGTTCGGCCCGCGCCAACGTACTTGGACAAACTAGAACACGGATACACATGAGTCGACATGCCACCGACGTGCCTTGTGGACTGACTTTAAGCCAAAGATAGCAACGTCGCCTTCGCGGGTGACCATCAAGTGCGTAGGATCCAGCGATCGTGTCAAGATGCCGTCCTAACTCCGTGGCCGTGGGACGGTCGCCAGTCAGTTCAAGGGGTTTCATACCGCATGCAGCAACTGAAGAGCCACGACAAGGTGGGCCGCGTAGAATCGAATCGCGGCCTCGGACGACAGGGGAAATGTGGCAACTTCGTCGAGGACCCCCACGTACGCCACGTCGAAGACCGCATGAAGGTCGTGGGCTGTCTGCGTAACGCCATAGAGAGGCGCGAGGCCCGCTTGGACGCGGCCAAGGGCAACATACATATCTTGTTCACCAAGCAATTGGTGCTTGAGGTGCGACTCGACCACGGTCTGCTTGGTGATGGACCTCAGCGTGACCCACTTGTTGTTGTATTTCGCCAACCGGCACGTCGCGACCAGATCTTGCCAGATAGTCGGGCCGACTGTGACCTGCCCGATGTCAACCAGTCCTTCCAGTGCCGGTGACGGCGTGTGCGCCACCACGACCAACCCGCGCAGCTACCATGACCCGCACATCAAACGAAGCCATCGCAACGAACGCGGCTGCCTACCGGTGCCGACTGTTTAGCCAGTGTCGTGATACTCTTTCGCGCCCGTCGAACTTTGTTCTGCTCGACAATGACCGATAGCGTTCCCAGAGTTGCTTCGAAGGCTTCACGCGATATGCATAGGCATTCCGTGTCTTCTTCTGCCACGGCCGAGTATGGACTACATGACGACAGTATGTGGATACGGTTGAAAAGGCCAAAGACGAGTACCACGTGGGAGTGTCGGCGAGCACAAAGTCGCCAAAGCACTCGTGCGCGTGGATCGACGTCGCGTCGGCGGCGAGGGGGTGCAGGATCGACACGCGGCCTTGAAGGACCAAGCACAGCTGGGCCGTTGCAGTCGAAGCGCCGGCTTCAAACACTTTGGTGCCCTACGCCACGTCGAAGCCACCGTGACGAGCCACGCTCGCAAACACTCGACGCGAGAGAGAGGAAGGACCAAGTCCATTTTCTGGCCAGTGATGGAGAGTTTGGGTGTTCCTTACTGAGGTAAATGTCGCTTGCTGCATGTGCTCGGCCACGAGGTTTAGCTGCGCGATCGTGAGCGCGCGAAACGGTGACACATTCCGCAGGCGCTGGATGATATGGCGCATCGGGCGGCGCACGAGAATCGAACGAAACGCCATGCGATCGATCGTCCACAGCGTGCCGCTGCCGGTGGCAATCACAGTCGCGGCGCGAGGTTTGGAGTACATGAGCGCAAGTTCACCAAAGGTCGGGTGCGACCCCTCCGACCCCACATACGTGTGGACAACAGGGCCGTACATGGCTTCCAACGAATCCCCCGTGGATGGTGCCGCTTCCGGCTCGACCGGGGTCCTGCGGACCCGAACGTCGAACCGGCCAGAGTCGACCAAGAAGAATCGGTCGCCGTCATCGTGCTGGCGGATCACAACGTCGCCGTCTGCGACAACTTGGCGCTTCATCACGGACAGCACGTCGTTCAACTAACAACAACGTTCACCGGGCACTTCAACAACTCGATCCAGAACAAGCTGCCGAAACGATATACCTTGTCAGCGGTCAAGTGCGCAAACAAAAAGTTGTGTTGGACCATGCGCTCGAGGCGAGCAAGGTCTTCGGGGGATTTCGGGACGGCGTGCATTTTGACGTCGTAGTCGGCGATGGGCGAGAGGAGGCCATGACTGCCTTGGTGGGCCGGGGAAAACAACTCTTCACTCGCCATCGACATGCGGGCAGTGTCGAATCCACCGATGATAGTGTCCCGAGATCGCCAGTTCTTGTTCAAATCGAGACCGCGCACTGGGCGCAAGCAGTCTTGCATGGCGAGGAGGACGTCTTGTCCTGCGATGATGCTATTGCGTCCGTGCAATTTGGACGAGCGAACGGGCACTTGCTTGGCCACGGGCTCGACGAACAAAATGATGCACGTGATGTCGTCGGTGCGTTCCTGCGGACAAGCGTCAGATGAGGAAGTTTGTTGCAGTGGAACCCGCACTTCAAAGTCGAGCCATCGAGAGAACGACTCCATCACGACTGTGTGGCATGCGTCGAGAGGGCTCTTGTACTCTTTCACGATGTTCACCACCGCCTGGCTCGTCAAGAACTCAAACACGCCGTCCGACGCTATCACGATAAACTTGTCGTGTGCGTTCAGTGTCTTTGTAATGATCTCTGGCTCGGCAAACACCCCGAGTTCCTCCGATACGTGGTCGCCAAGGCTGCGCGTGAAGGCTGTGCCCTACAGCACCATGACTACCCTCCATTCCGTTGCCATCGCCCACGCCGGCCTACCGGGTAGTCCCCGTAGGGGTGCCAAATACGAGGCGGGTCTCCGGACTCGTCGATTTCGTCGCCGAGTGTGAGTCCCCAGTTCTCGTGGATCGGCTCGTATCCCTCGAGCTGGTCGACGGTCAAGATGCGTGCGCCAGTTTTCTTGACGCGGTCCCGTTCATCCTGCGCAACAACCAAACTTGCTCAGCCACATGATCACGATCGACGTTGTCAGGTGCGATGCATACCTTGCGAAACGGTGTTTGGTCAATCGACAACGCTTTTGCGACCAGTTGAGGGGGGGTTCCGTCCGCCGACGCGATTTCTTGCGCAATAATGGCGCGGGAATCGCCGACGTTCGAAATGTGGATTTCGTTCGTCTGGAACAAGACCGAGATGGCGGTCGTCCCGCTCATCGAGTCGTCGAACGGGGCCGAATGCATCTACTCCAACGAGTGAACAAATCATCAACAGATCGACGATGGCAAAGCAAGCACGACGATGGAATTTTCAAGGGAGGAATTGGGGACAGGTCATGTTGCCGAGGTAGACTGTACCATGGTATTGGCGTCGACGTGCGCTCGGGTGAGGGCCTCCGTCGTCTCGATATTCTTTGTTAAATGCTGCTGCAGCAACGTCGGGACGACATCGCGAGCGTACTGCGCGCATTTGTCCCCTGTGGTTCCGTGTCCGTCGAATACACCAAAGAACGAGCATTCATTGTGGAATGTCGGCTTGCACACGTACGCATCTTGGTTGGGCTTGTTGATTGCTAGAATGGCGCGAACATAAGAGAAAGTCAAGGGGGGATGGCAGAATGCACTCGTACAGTCGGGGTAATACCCACGCAGGGAGACGTAGGCGTACGAGATCTTGTAGTCGCCGCTGACGAATGACTCTGGTTCATGCGAGGCAGACGTGCGTTGATTCAACTCTTGCTCGGTTAGAGGGGATTTCCTGTTGCGTTGTTGCTGTTGTTGCTCCGACTCGGTAAGCGTGGGAGTCGGCGGAGTGTGCTCTTTGGTCACCTCGTCTGTCGGCGATAAGAGGACAGACGACGGGGAGTTGCCGGAAGTCGACACGGCAGTGGTGGGGACGGATGCTGTCGTCGGATGCTGGGGACGGGGGGGTAGAGCCTCCGAATGGCGGGTCACCACGGCGGTGTTCGAGCAGCAATTCCCCATGAAGTCGCTGGAGAAGTCGCGCGGCCTAGCTGATACTGCCGCTTGCTTCGACGATGATGCACTGCACAAACCGTGAAGGATGAGTAACGCTTGGGTGGTTTTTTATTCATCTGGCAAACTATAAACAGCAAACCTGCCAGAGATTTAAAACGCATTTAAAACGCATCGCCACCCGATGCTGTCACGCAAATTCGCCAAACCCGATACGTTTCAAACGTTTTTAAAATCTTGCATCGAGCCTGTATGTGGGGTGTCAAAATCGAGCGACGACATGACGAGATTGCCACCAGACGGGACTTGCCACACAAGGGCCATGGCACACACGAGCAAGAAGTGGATGGAAGAGGAGCAGGCAGGGTCAGAGTACAGCAGAGGCAACGAAGCGAGCGAGCGCTGTTCAGTGTTGCGACGGTGTGACAGACCTCGGGGGATGGAGGTGATGTCGGGGGTGAACCGTGACGAACAACGTGCGTACTGTAACGTGCCACCTCCGCGCACCTAGCCAAGCGGCGCCGCAACCTCGCCCTCTGTCGATCGCATGCCTGGACACACTAGCATGGAGCAGAGGAAATCGGGTGAGCATTAGTACCGCACGCGGTGGCGGAGACCCGACCGTTGGTGTCGCTTGGATGGGTCCAGTTTCTGCCTGAACCAATCATATGGATCCATCGGCGATTGCGATGGAATGGGAGGCGCTTCTTGGGAAGGGTCGACCCGACGGCCTGTACGCATGGAGGTCGGTCCGAGAGGAAGCCAGCGTGATTTGGGCCATGGCGTGGAAGATTTCTCTCGCGTCGTTCTGTCGGATGTCCGTGTTTACGATCTCGACGGCGTTCTTGGGGCAGTTGGGGACACGGGAGTTAGCCGCGAGCGCGTTGGCGCAGTCGGTCATCGGCGCCCTTCGAATCGTCACATGGGCGTCGTCCACTTCTCTCAGCACGGTATGGCATCCCCTCTGCAATCTGCTCGTATGTCTTGTCACATGTCACGGTAGCTGTGTGGACAAGCGTACGGCGCGCGCAACTTTGAGCTCGTGGGGACGTGGCTTCAAACGGGCGTTGTCGTCCTGAGCGCGGCGTCGATTCCTCTGATGATTGCCCACTTGTACGCGTACCTGGTTCTTCAGTACATCGTTCATGATGACCCCGATCTCGTGTCGCTGGCGCAGACGTTTGCATCGTACTCGGCCTTGAGCGTGTGGCCAAATGCGCTCTACGTTTCTCTGCGGTACGTGCATGTAATTCAGTAGCTGTGCGTGGGCTCACGGCCGCTGTAGGTCGTACCTTCGATCCCAGCAGATCGTGGCGCCGATTGCGGTCGTGGATTTTGCCACGGTCGGGCTCTACATCGTATCCAACTACGTGTTTATCTACGGGTGTTTGGGCTGGAACGGGTTGGGCTTTGTCGGGTCGCCACTCGCGAGTTTCTTTTGCGCAACGATGCAACCGCTCGCGTTATTCGTGTACGCGTTTGTCGTGCAGCGCCATCATGAGAGTATGTGCCCTCGCTCGGAAACGTGTGCGATGATGATGGCGCTTCTTTGCAGAAACGTGGACCGGGTGGTCGTGGCAGTGTCTGGACCAGGTGCGCCTCAAGCAGTTTGTGACGCTCACGAGCTCGCTCTTTGTGTACCTGGCGATGGACGAATGGATCTACAACGTTGTCACAGTCGTCGCAGGTAAGTGGCAGCGACGTTAGCGATCTCGTGCACACCGTTGCGGTGGTTAGCCCAACTCGGGAGCGTCAATTTGGCGGCCAACAGCATCCTGTTCAACGTGTGGGGGCTCGCGTACGGCGTCTACCTCGGATTCAGCACGCCGATTCAAGTCCGTGCGTCGCATGCAATGGGAGCAAACGATCCATCGAAAGCCAAGCAAGTCACGTTTGTCGGGTTTGCGTTGGGTTCGATTGCGACAGTTGTCGTGGTCGTGGTGTTGCTGGTGGGTCGACGGCCTCTCGTCGGCGTCTTTACGCAAGACCCGGCGCTACATGACATTTTGGACACGGTCCTGCCCGTGTTTTGTATCGCCGCGAGCATCTCGGGGCTCCATGTCATGCTCTCGTCAGTGCTGGAAGCCATGTCCCTTGCCATGACACTGGTTATCGTGTCTGGAGTCGGATCGTGGGGGATTTTGCTGCCTGTTTCATATTACTTGGGCATATCGGAAGCGCTCGGGTTGGCTGGTCTTTGGTGGGGTAGTGTCGTCGGCGAAGCCGCCAAGTTCATGTTCACCGGTATTGCGTTGTTTGGCTTGTACGACTGGGCAGCGATTGCCCACCGCATTGCACGCGACACCGAGGCAATTGCCGTCGCCGAAGAAGTCGAAGCGCTCACGTCTGCCGACACCGTCAAGAGCCCAGTCGCGGCGGCGACGAACTCGTCGTTCTAGATATGCCCCCATCCACTTGGTTTTGTTTCCACTTGGATTTGCCTTCACTAGAACTGTCCATGCTCCATCCCAACGTCTCAACTCGATGGCTATCACCAACCACACGTACGACCAACTCGTGCCCCCTCCACGCCGACCTGGCGTTCGAACACGCACAGCAACGTCTTACTTCGACACGTCCAGAGATTGTTGGCTTGCGCGCACGCCACCGTGCCACGACGGATTCCAGCCGCATGGAGTCGCATGGATGTGGGCAGCAATGGCATCGAACACACGTAAATCAGTGACAGACCAATAACTTCTCATACCACCCACCTCCGCTCACACTGTCTTGGAATTAACCACAGCGGACGTTCCTCAACAGCGACGGCCCGGACTTGCTTCCTCAGCACGTGCGACGACATCCCGAGTCCACGAAGGGGGTCGCGTCCGATCCTCAAAATTTTTGGTAACGTCTTCTTTGGAAAACAAAGTAAAGATGACAGCTGTATAGAAAATGATCTTGTTCAAGTACGGTCTTAGAAATGAGTTAATCTCATTGTAAGGTACCTGCAAAATCAACTCCCACGCGTGAAACAAGACCCATTTCGACGATTTGATTGGTGAGGAAGATCTCCACCAATCAAGAGTGCCGAAGGTTGCGAAATGACGGCCACGATCGAGCGGACGCCGCTGCTTGCGACCACGCGGTCGCTGTACTCGACCAAGGCCGTGGTCGATGAAATGACGGCGATCTTTGCAATATGCTGGAAGATCTCCCTCGCGACGTTTTGTCAACTCAGTGTCTTGACGATCTCGACGGTGTTCTTGGGGCATCTCGGCACGCACGAGCTGGCCGCCTGTGCCATGGTCATGTCCGTCATTGGGGGCTTTCGCATCATTGCGTGGGCGTTTTCGATTTCGATCAGCACTGTACGTAGTCGATGATGGAGAGCAAACGCTGACGAACACGTCTCTGCAGCTTGGAGGTCATGCCTACGGTGCCAAGAACTTTGAACTGGTGGGTGTGTGGCTGCAAATTGGGCTCATCGTGCTCACACCAGTGTCTGTCTTGTTAATGATCGTGTGCTGGAACATCCGACCGTGCCTTGAATGGATGACGGACGACTTGGAACTGCTGGCGATGGGCGAGACGTATGCGTGGTATGTGTCTTGGAGTGTCTGGCCCACCGCTGTGTACGAAGCTTTGCGGTACACGGCCCCTGCCCTTTAACCGAGTTTTGACTTCTGCGCCAGAGGTTATTACAAAGCCCAAGAAATCATGATCCCCACCACCGTCGTCGACGTTACGACCCTGTTCATCTCGATTGGCGTCAACTACATTTGCATTTATGGCTGCTGGGGGTTGCCAGGTCTTGGGTTCATCGGGTCACCCCTCGCCGTTGTCATTATTGCAATCGTCCAAGCAGCGTCGCTGTGGTCGTGTGCTCATTTGCTCCAAGAACGCCATACCAGTGCGTGCTTCTACAATTGGATCGCTCGTATGGACGATACCCTTCTAACTCGCCTCATGTGGTAGAGACATGGTTTGGGTGGAAGATGAAATACTGCCTCAACGCCGCTCGCTTGCGGCAGTACTTGGAGCTCACCGGCACGTTTTTAGTGTACTTGGCGCTGGATGAGTGGGTGTACAACGTGCTGGCGGTCATGGCAGGTGACGGGACCTCCACCAGAAAAAACTCTTCGTCATCGTGTTCTTGGGATAGCGCGACTTGGCAGCTTGAATGTGGCAGCTTACAACATCCTGTTTACCATTTGGACGTTGGCGTACGGTCTGTACATCGGGTTCAGTACCCCCATTCAAGTGCGCGTATCTCATGCGCTCGGTGCCAACGATCCGGACAAGGCCAAGCAGACCGCCGCCATCGGTTGCGGCATGGGGTCGTTTGCTGCCGTCGTCCTCAGCGCGGCCATGTATGTCGGTCGATATGAATTGCTGGCGTTGTACACCCCCGACGAAGACCTCCAGAACGTCGTACTTCCTGTCCTGGGACTCTTTTGTGTGGCGGCGAGCCTCTCCGGCGTGCATATAACGCTATCTGCGATGCTAGAAGCCATGTCGCTGGCCAGGACCCTCGTCATCGCGTCGTGTGTGGGTTCATGGCTCGTGCTGCTCCCTGTCGCGTACGAAGTTGCGTTCGAAACGTCCTTTGGCTTTGGTGGGCTCTACATTGGCAGTGTCATCGGCGAGTCCGTGAAGCTCATCATCATGGCCGTGGCCCTCGTTTGGGTATACGACTGGCGTGTTGTAGCCGAGCGTGTATCCAAGCAAGTGGGCAGCGACCACGAAGGGTTTGATGTGTAGAAGAGATCGACCTTGTCGTTGTCGGCATCGCGAGTGCGACCTCGTCGTGGCGAATGCCAGTGGTTTTTAACTGATAGCATTTCTTGCATAAAGCGCTATTGCGTAGGGACTGTTATGCTTAAGGCCACATAAAGTATCAAGGCGGCGAAAGGCCGTACTCGTCGCAGTCGCCACGATCATATTCACACGCGGCAGTAAAACAAGCCAAGTCGCAGAGTTGATCGCCGACTGCCCACAGCATGCATCCTGGTGCACAGATCGCCCGTCCACACACTGTCGCGTCAGTGGACGAGTTGCAATATGTGGTATTGCCCACAAGGACCATCTTGGACGTGAGGCGGGCTGTGTCAAAGCCTCGCGGGAGAACGGCGATTGGGTTGGACGACACGTCGAGCATGATGTCGCTCCGAAGGGTCGTGGGAAGCTCAGTCAGGGAGTTGCCTCCCAAATTCACAGAGTGCAGTTGCGTCAGATGATTTAGCTGGGCTTGCCACAAGTCGTCCACGGTGGTAAGCCACGGATGGTTTGTCAGGTAGAGTGCCTGGAGGTTGCCGAGCGTCGACAGCGCCGTCGGGGTCGTCGTGAGGCTGGTGTTGAAAAAAAACAGGTTTGTCACGGGCTGCCATATATCCACCAAGTGCTCTGGCAGCGTCGCAAGGGGAGTCGACTCGAACATGAGATTGGTCAGGAGTGGCGGCAGTTTGGCTTGGAGACTCACTGGAACCGAGAAAAAGTCGCACTGGCGAAACTGGATCGACGTCAGGGTCGCGGGAAGCGCGGCGTCCCAGTCGCGGAGTTTCGTAAACTGAAACACGACTGTGTTGAGCGATTGCTGGTGGGCAAACGTGCTGTTTGAAATGCCGCTGCGAACGTCGCAGCGACTCACTTTGAGGACAAAGAGCGACGAACCGACGTCATGAGGGTCGATGAATGCGTCTACGTCAAGGCTCTGGTTGCGAAGGACGTGGCAGTTGATGTGGAGGTACTTGCAGTGGCACGTCAGGTCCAACAGGGGTGTCGTCGCCGCCTGGCATGTCGATGGGCATGGCTGCCGAAAAAACAGCGCCTGGAGGCACAAGACCCAGACAGTCACTCCACAACCCACGCTGCACACCGCGTACCACACGACAAACGGGGGTCGACGATGGTGGCGGCGTTTGAAGGCAGTGGTATTTTTCTCCGTGGTCGTCCTTCGCTCAATCAACAGTCTCGACGGCTGCTTCTTCCTGGACGACCAAGTGCTCGCCTGGAGGCTTCTCGGCGGGAGAGCCCCTGCCAGCCGATATAGCGAGACGAGAGTGTTGACATCCATGACAAGCTTGACGACGTAGTCTAACGGGGACGACGCCACCACGATGCGGCAATACAGGAGCACGCGAGTGTACCATGCGTGGTTGCTCGATAATGTCCAGTCGACGAGGAGGAGTTTTAGAACCGGCGCGAGAAGGCTCGCGAGCGGCAACAAGCAAGACAAATAGAACCCGATGAAGCTGTTGAACCAGCTCAGGACGATGTGATTCGTGGCGGATGAGCGGCGCCCAACCAAGAACCACGGTGACACGACCAAATTGAGCGCGACGCACGACAGAAATGCACCAACAAACCACTTGTCGACGACATATTGAGTTACTTGAAACGCCTTGTAGCTCTGGCACACGACCTCGACAGTGTGAAACACCAGGATGTGCTTGTCCTCCGACAGGTTGCACCACCACCACTCGTTCGCTTCGGACAAGAGCTCGTCCTTATTGATGAAGGAAGTCAGCCGTCGCTTCAACGCGGTTGCAGCCGGAGGCGATGGTGAACTTGGCGGCGGTGGCCTTCGACACGACCTGACGACGAAACCAACGTGCAGGAGAGTTAGCGCAGTGTACGTGCAAGCTGTGACGAGTGGCGCATACGCATGGATGGCTGCCGCGGACGACGGGCTCAGTTTGAAAAACACAAACGCCAACATGGCAAAGTACACGCCACACACGACGTGCTTGACTCTGGTAAACATGCGGATACAGTGGTGAAGGCGCGTGGACGAAACCTGTTCAGAGAAGTCGTGGCGCTCGCGTGGCACGACCGCAATCGACCTCATCGATCCCAGAGTGGTTCAGCCACGAATGCAATGCCTCGTTTGTGTAGGACCATCTAAAATTAGTGCTCGGTTGACGGGGAAAGCTGGCACGGTGCCAACCGACACTACAAACATTTGCGACGGCAGTGACATCATCGAAGCTTTACGCTGTAAGAATACGCATGGCGTCTTCATCACCTCACAGGACGACGGCGGCGGCGTTATGCCATGCCGCGGGCGTCCCCCCAACGTGAATCTGATCTAATCTCCAATCTTACAACTACCGCCACAGTTTCCATCATTGCCTCGAAGGTGCACACAGATTGTAGCCACGTCGCGCGCACGCCGTCGTCGACTCTGTCAGTGCATACCGATTGCACAAGTCTGGTCTGGAGAGCTAGCATGGGCTGCCTGCCAAGTAGGAACTGATTCTGACGAGTCGGACTCTGCCGTCGCATGCCTCGATTGAACTTGCCAAGCCATCGGCGGAACTCCGGATAAGTTATGCGGAGGAGTCCCCAGACGGCAGACAGTTGGGATATAAAATCATGTTGAAGATTGCATACCATTTTTCAACGCTTGGTTCATGAGCCAGCCGGCGACGACGGTGCGGCGCGAGAAGGTCGAGGTGGTGTTCTCGACCAAGACGAAGGTGCCGACGTCCGTGCGTAAGGAGGATTCAACACCGTCACACGAGCTACACACCAGCACCGGTAGCGTGAACAGTCGGCAAGATTCGAGCGAACAGCTGCACCAAGCGTCGGGGGAACCGAACTACGGACAAATGACCCGCGAAGGCAGCAGTGAAGTGGAAGCTGCTCCAGCCAGTGCAGACAACTCAATCCGAAAACGAGGCAGACGGTCGTCTCGAAAAGGATCCTCATCCTCCGACACAAAGGTTGCGTGCAAAGTGAGTGCAAGCGTGCGACGTCTTCGTCCGTCCAAAGCGCTGTTGCAACTCGAATCGGCCTCGGTCGCAGAGTGTGTCAAAGCTATGGTCGATAGCCGCACAGAAGCGACATTGGTGACAGATTCGAAAGGATCGTTGACTGGAATCTTGACAGACAAGGTTCGTACAGCACGACCATGCGTTGGGACTACATCATGACAGACACGTACAGGACATTGCGCTGCGTGTGGTGGCACGAGGGTTGGACCCGATATCCACGATCGCGCTCGATGTGATGACCCCAAACCCATCGTGCGTATCTCCACGTGCATGTGCGATCGAAGCACTGGAGCAAATGGTATCTGGCCAGTTTCGCCACTTGCCTGTCGCGGACAACGGCAGCGGTAACTTGTCTCAATTCCATGTCGAATGTTTATGGCCGTCGACGTAGTCGTGGGGATTTTGGACATTGCCAAGTGTTTGTACGATGCGATTTCGAAGATTGAGAACGCGTACATGGCATCGTCAAGTCAGTTCTCCGAGTCGATGCAAAAGGTTTGTGTCTCTCTGAGCACTGCGCGGCTCATTCAAACATAGCTGGACGCAAACATTGGAGACAAGGAGGCATCGCTGTTTGAAAAGATGCGGGAAACCGTACGACATTTCGTCCATGTTTTCCACCTACTGAAGTACCGACTAGCTCTTCTTGCCCACGTTGAGCTCACTCATCGACGGACGCGCCGACGTTCCTGAAATTGTCGACACGGCGACGGCCCGGGACGCGTCTTTACTCATGCTGGAGACAAACTCGAGCGCCGTGATGGTGTTTGGCGAGGCAGGGATCATGGAAGGGATCTGCACGACGAAGGACCTCATGCGCCGCGTGCTTGCCGCCGGACTTGACCCGGAAACGTGCCTCGTGCGAGACATCATGACGGTCAAGCCCGAGTACGCCCACCTGAACACGACCATCCTGGATGCGCTGCACTCGATGCACGACGGCAAGTTCCTCCACTTGCCCATTCTCAACGACGATGGCGTCGTCGTCGGTCTTGCGGACGTCCTCCAAGTTACATGCGGCGTTGTCCATCACATGGGGAGCTTCCAGCAACAGCACACAGCAAATGTGAACCCCGTGTGGAACCAGTTTTGGAATTCAATGTTCAATCCCCCGACAACGCCCTCGGCATCCTCGCCATCGTCTCGTACGTGTCTGGGATGAAGTCTTTTTCACTGATGGCAACGGTAGGGGAGGCCGCCGCCGCCCCACCCATCGGAACCGCCTCCCATGCCTCGGCGACGTCGTCAGCATCGTCCTTTCCGCGGTATGACCACGACAGTGCCACGTTTGCACCGCCGCTAGAGCTACCTGCTGCACCGCTAACATTTGCGTACAAACTGACCGATTTGGTGCACCACACACATCGCTTCACCGCGACTGCGACCGACTTGGCCGAACTCTTGCAACAAGTGCGCGATCGCACCGGCCTTCTCCATGAAGACGTAAACTTATATTATGTCGACGACGAGAATGACACGGTGCTTTTGTTTGCCGACCAAGATTTGAAGGATGCGGTGGCGCTCGCGACGGAGCACTCGGCCGCGTACCTACGTCTTAAGGTTCAACCGGCAGCCGCTGTCGCAGACAAGGAAACGGACGACTCGTTGGAAGATCTGCCGAATCTCGAGGCCCCACGGACCGACCGACCAGCGCTGTCCGACTCGATGATGCTCAAGATCCGGCAGGGTAGCCTCGTCACGGCGTTAACGATGACGGTCGTCGGCACGGCCATGATGCTTGCCAAGAGAAAGTAGTCTGAAAGATGTCGTGATGGGAATGCCATTCATGGTTTACATCTTTGTTGTCGAACTATGGTGTCGAGTGTCGCTCGCGAACTTTGAGCAGCATGGCGACACACAGTTGACGAATGTCGGCCGCCACTGCTGGTGGAACTGACGGCGTTGCAATCGATCGAGATGCAGGACGTGACTTCTTCTGCTGCTGAAAAGTTGAGCCGTTGAATCGCGATGGACCGCGTTGGCCCTGCTGCTGAGGCGGCGTCATTTTTGGCGCGTGGTCCGCCGCCGAACCGAGCTCCTTTTGGCCAAGTGCTGTAGTTGAAGCATTCTTTGCCGAAGGAGAGGATATATGAAGATCCTTGGGGCGTTTGACGGGGGGCGGCAACAATGGAACGGCCATCAAGGCATCTCTGAACGCTTGTTGAGCCGAAGGATTTGCGGCGACAGGAACCTTTTTTGCAGGCGCAGCGAGCGAAATCTGGTCGTCATCTTGGATGGTTGAAGGGGACAGAATGAGTGGTTCTGCTTGGGATGACGGCTTGAGTACAGGGAACTAGGCATCGACGACATGAGCGCTACACGAGACATGCATCATTGCACCGTACCCGGGATCGATCGACGACGTAGACGTACGTGATGCACTGGGCGGGCTCAAAAGTCTTGGCTGTTGGGTCCGTCGTCCGGTGGTGGTAGCCAGGGAAGATGTCAATACGGAAAGGTCGGCGTTCTTTCAGGACAAAACCGTTCGCCTTTGCTTGGTCTTCGACGTTCCAGTTGGAATAAGGCGGCTTTGTCTTCAGCGTGATGTGGACTTCGCCTTTCAACGCGAGCTTGCCTCGTGCGCTTTCGAAAAAGTCGAGCAGCAACACGCGGTTGATGTGCACGCGTTGGTGGCCACTGTGCGGGAAGTTGAAGATGATAAAGTCGAACAATTGTGGAATGGATGCCGGCAACGTATGCAACTTGGTGGCGTCAATGCCGTGGAATACTTGTGCACCAGTTCGCCCCAACGTGGCAATGCATTCGTTCGCGTTCGAGTACTTCTACTCAATAATGTTCCATGAGGACCCACATGACAAGAAGACATACCCCGCACGACCTTTCGAACTTGAGCTGCTGTGTCAAAGGACGTGGCGTACAGATTGGCACCACCACCGCGATGGGTCACTAACCCTCGCGAGAACGTGAAGTCTCCATCTCCCAGCACAAGGATCAAATCTTGAAGAGCATAGAGCTGGGTCTGAGGGTGCTGTTGTCGATTCAAACGGCGATGCTGGTGTTGCTGCTTTGGCCTCTTCGCCATACGCAAGTCCCTGCTCGCGCCGCCTTTTCGCTTCACCATTGTGTCTTCAAAATGGTCGCGTTCAAATCGCAAGCTCGATTTTGGTTGGCCATGCTGAATCGTATTGAATTTTGTATTCCATACAAACATTGAGATCGAATTTGGAATCCTAGTGCGTTGCCACACACACTTTTCCATGTACTGCGGGGACGAAGTCGGCGCGTTCATCGGGGACGTCGGGTCTCTTACCGCCAAGTTCGGCTATGCGGGGGAAGACACACCCAACTTGGTCTTCCCATCATGCATGGGGGTGCGTCCGGCAACCAACGAGCGCATCGTGGGCCACAGTGCACTGTCCAGCTGCCACGACATCACAGCGTTGCCTCGAGCGATCAGTACCTTGGAAGACAAGACCAACTACAATTGGGACGTGATGGAGAAGCTTTGGCTGCACGCGTTCGAGGAATCTCACGTCGATCCCACCCAACATGCTGTGTTGACGTGTCTCTCGCCGTTCGACATGCATGAGAGTGTGTCGTACATGGAGCTCATGTTTGAAAAGTTCAATGCCCCAGCTTTCTACGTGGCGAAAGATGCAGTGCTGAATGCGTTTTCGTTTGGCAAGTCGACTGCACTCGTGTGCGATGTGGGCGCTAGCTCCATGCGGGTAGTTCCTGTCGTGGAAGGGTTCACGTTAAAGGGATCATCGTTTCGATCGACTGCGGGAGGGGAAGCATTGACAAACCAGCTTCTCTCCGTCCTCCACGACAAACACCACGTTGAGATCCACCCTGGCGCTCGCAAGTACGCTGCTGTGGATGGTAGCGGTCCTGCGCTCCACCGACCATTGGCATCTGTGTCCAACGAGTACCGCAACTATCGCATTTTGGAGATTGTCCGCGACATCAAGGAATCGCTATGTCAGATGCCCGAAACGACTCTCCAAGAGGATCTTGCCGAGAGCGTTGCGCCAGAGCACTACGAACTTCCCGATGGAACCGTCGTCACACTCGGCAGCGAGCGATTCCGCATTCCCGAAAAGCTCTTCCACCCGGATGTCATTGCGGCCGACTCGACGACCGTCGACAGCTCGTCCAAGGGGCTTCACCGGATGGTATACAACTCTGTGCAAAGCAGTGACGTTGACGTGCGTAAAGACCTACTCTACAACATCGTGTTGTGCGGCGGTGGTAGTGGCCTTCCTGGTCTCACAGAGAGATTACACTGGGAGGTGTCGCAATTGGTGCCGTCGGCAACCTACAAGGTGCGACTGACCCAAGTGTCGGCGATCGAGAAGAAGTTCAGTGCGTGGATCGGCGGCAGCATCCTGGCGTCTCTCGGATCGTTCCAGCAACTGTGGGTCTCCAAGCGCGAGTTTGACGAGTACGGCGCCGACGCCATGGCCGCGTCGCGATTCTTGTGATAGAACTGCAATGCACGCCCCCAGGTGTATCCAGAATTAAGTTATTCGCGCCGTATTCGCCAAATTTTGCACCTCCTTTGTTTCAATATGGATTTAAAATGCATTTAGAAATCCACTTTGGAGTTTAAAATGCATTGACATAGAGGACAGGTTGGAATCCCATCTTCAACACACGATTATTCGGATACTGGAGAATTATCCGGATTTTGCTCGGCCAACCAAGAATGGGTTGACCATCACCAAGATGGAAACGCTGGCGCGCAAGAAAGGTCGGCCGGCGGGACCGATCCAGGTCTTGAAGGATGACAGCATGACGCTTTCCTTCAAAGTTCCGTCTTCCATCAAGCTTCCGCAAGCTTCATCGATTCTTCGTGTGGTAACCCCTCCCATAGAAGCTCCAGCAGCAATTACCACTACAACAGCCAATGTCGAAGAAGACGTGGAGGAGGACTCGTGGGAGTGCAAAACCGATTTTGCGCTCGATTTGAATGCGAAAGCGGTCGATATGGATGATGAGTGGGAAGAGTGCACGGCCGAGGCGTTCCCAGACGACTTTCCCATCTTGCTTGTCAACCTCTCTAAACTCAGCGTGGATCACATGGGTGTGTCGCTGGCGACGAACGAAGATGCCACTTTGATTTCGAACAAAATACAGGAAATATTCGCCTCCTCCAAGTTCTCGTATGTCCTGGAAGTGCTCCTCGAACAAGAAACGGCGTATCATGCCACGTATGGGGCGTACAAAGCCAGGTTGGCGCAACTCACCGGCAACTCGGTCGACGGAGACGACGTATGGGCCGCAATCGATTATCCCGCACTGATTGATGGCGCCATTCCTCTGAGCGACATCTTGGACGTGCTGCGTCGACCGACCAAGTGGAGGAGCGTCAACTTCATCAAAGACTGCATGTCTCAGTCTTCCCGCGACATCAAGTGGAAAGCGCAGGTCATTGCAGAGCTGGAGAAGCTTGCCGAATCTGAAGAAGCTGCGCGAAACTCACGCCAAGAAGCGCTTCGCGTCGAAATCGAACAGGTACCTTGGGACGTACCATGACATTGACCACGGGAGATGTCACCATGCCATGCAGGTAGCGTCCGCGAGGGACGTGTACGATCGCAAACTCGAAAGTTTGGAGGGACATCATGACACCAAGTCTGTCATGGCGCGACAATTTGCCAGGAGTCGTCTGGAGGAAACAAACGCGACGCTGTCTCGGTTGGTGGACGCGTACCTCGCAACGACGTCGCCGTCCCATAGGAGGCATGAAGACGAGATGCTGTCGGGTGAAATGGTAAAGGACATGAACGTTGTCGACATGATCGTGTCGATGGTGTTCAGTCGACTGCCGCGCCACCCGTCCACGTCTATACAGACGCACTACCAGTCGTTGAACGATTCCCACGAGCACATTCGCAAATTGTGGGTCGACGACTTTGGCCGATTACCGCCAAGATCACGACAGGTCCATCTGGATGAAGATGGACATGCCATTCATGATATCGTATCAGAGACCGGGTCCACGCGGCCTTCCTTTCCACATGTCTCGCTCTCGGATGATCATGCCCATGCGGACCAGCTCGACAGAATTTACCCTGCTGGTACATCTGTGTGTCCACGGCATGGAACAAGTGCAAACAAACGTTGTTTTCCGTAGATTCAGAGATTGCCGTTGCTCCAGCAACAAGAGCAACGTCAAGCGCTGTGGAGGCATCTGGAAGGGTCGAGTCGGCCGTGCGGAAGCCACGGCGAAAAAAGACCCAAATGGCGACGAAATCCAAACCCACGTTTCAGCCACTTGCATGCGTGGGGGCGTTTTCGTTGCTGCAAGTGTCAGACGATGGCGAGGCAAACTACATGTTTTAATAAATGTACTCACATTGCGATCCACGCTGTGTGTCGACTCATGCCTTGGTCTTTGTCTTTCGCGGAATGAATCCATGGGTCTCAAGAACGTCGCGCGCGCAGTTGGCAATGTGCTTGAATCTATCAGGACCGAGTTGAATGCCCCCGTACCATCGACTCACAACCACCGCCTGGACAAGGTGTTTTTGTGAGCAAAACTCGACCGAGACTCACGTACCACGTTCTGTGCCTGGGTCATCTCGAGCAAATGCGACAACTTGCTGCCCGCGCCGCCTTCGCCGTCGTCGTCGCTGTCTTTAATCACAACGTCTTTCACAATTCGATACGCCTACAGCGCCGTGAACCCTGCTACGTCTCCGGATTCATCGAACGAACCAGCATATTATGCGTCGCTCTGGCAATTTTCCGGTCTTCAAGAAGGTGTGCCACAAACGCCCGGACCTACATGCCAACCACGTGAGCGACCAAGTGGAACTTGACGTAGAGAACAAACTTCGTCGACGCTAGTCACGGCCACGGCATTGGCCTAAACGTGTCGAATAGATGCGTTGGTGTGGACGGATATGGGTTCACGTCGTCACCCACTTGGAAAGTGCTCTTGCGATCGGTGATGGGAGTGCCGGTTTTGATACCGCGCAGGAATGGTGCAATGTCGTGTGACGTTGCAGGACGAGCAAGCAGCTCGTTGGCATCGATGTCGACGGCCTCCAGGGACGCTGCCTCCACTGATGCAAACGATCCAAACTTCTCGCGAACGCTTTCGATCCAGTCGTACAGGCAAACGTCGCCTCGAGATTTGTTGAACGTCTTCGTCTACGAATGAAAACATGAGCAGACAACATTTTGACAAAGAGCGGACCAAGTCTTGGATGATGGCGTCGCATTCGGACGACGACACACCGAACGAATCGTAAACTTCGGCAATTGGAGGTGACCGCGACGGGTAATCCGACGGCAGATGGATCAGCAGCCGAAGACAATAGTCGCCAGGGATCAACACGTAAAACGACTTGCCTTGTGTGCCGTAGATCTCTTGGTCGGCCCACTCAAAGTCGTGCTCGAAAATCGCCTACAATGATGTGGTCGCACTCCTGTACAAAAGACAACTTCGATATAGTACCTGCAGTGCTTCCACCTCGTCATGCTGCATGAGTTACTTTCAATTAGTACGTTGGACATCATAAGCTTGCATGGGAGCGCTCACCTGGCTTTCGAGGTTGGCGCGGACTTCGCTGTCGGTGGCAGCCATGTTGTTGTCCTTCATTCTGGAATTCAATTTGCAATCCGGATACGAGAACATACCGGATAACCCATGTTGCCCGACTTCCAATACGATTCGATTCGTCCAAGTGGCGTGTCAGCATGGCCACCGAGACGACGACGACGTCGGCGGCATCCACGAAGCCTTTGCATGTGTCGGACAGGCTGAAGCGAAAGCGCGAAAAGTCCAAGGCGATGAAGGACGGCGAGTGGACGCAGTGCATGTTTAAGCTGAAGCGTAAGAACCGCTTGTGCAACGTGGCAAGGTATTGCAGAGTACATTGCGTTGAGTGGCTGATGCATGTTTCAGAGTGGAAGGATCTCTCTACTGCGGCAACCACATCGTGGACGAAGAGGGTGTGACGAGCCAAAAGACGAAGAAGCACAAGCAGGAGCTGTGCAAACGCGTACCATGCACGTTGGACCCGTCGCACACTGTCTACTTATTCGACCTCAAGAAGCACCTCGTGGTGAGTCGAGTTCGATTGATACGACAGTGCATTTGATCGTCGAATCGGGCAGATTTGTAACAAGCTCAAGGAAGCCGAAGCTATGCGTAGTCTCCCGTTCTACTCGGAAAACATCAACTCCGGAACCCACGCTGCGGGCTCGGACCACGTCGCTCCACCAGTCGATGAAGCGTTGCATGTCGATGATGCCAATGTCGACGAGCATTCATGTCCGTCCTCTGCCAAGCAAGCCAGTCTTTTTCAAACTCTTGTACGTCTTCATCCTGTAAGGCATCGCTTTCCGCGCAGTCCGAGATAGGCTGCGATGGATTTCAACTCGCTTGCCGCGAAAATTAAATCTGCATACGATGCCAACGTTCCTTCGATTCCGACGCAGAAGCTGGATCATGCTGCGTGCACTGCGCTGCTTAAAGAGAAGCAAGCGGCGGGAGCGAACCACAGCGTCCTGCGCCACATCCAGCAGCAAGCCTCCATTCTCGGGCACATGGAGGCCAAGCACCTCCTGCGTCCGTCCCACGTGTACTGCGAACTGGGTGCGGGTCGAGCGATGTTGTCGCTTGCGCTGACGCAAATATACCCCTCGTCTCCGTTCGTGCTCATCGACCGCGCCGGTTCCCGCGGCAAGGTACGGCCGTGACGCCAGTCCTGTCACAAGAAACGATGGAATTGCTGGTAGCGAACGTCCAAGCACAGATTTTGACGCAGGCACGTAGGCGGACCAGCATATTGCGACGGAAAACAAATGCACCCGCGCCAAGATCGACATTCGACATCTCAACTTGGCCAAAATGGAACAAGTCGCGAACCAGCCTCTTGTATGCCTCTCCAAGCACCTGTGCGGCGTCGCGACTGACTTGTCGCTGCGAGCACTGGCCAACACGCTTCCTCCATCCGAGGGCTCCGCTGGTTCGGTCCCTCCACCGATAACCAGCCATTTCGTCGGCCTCGCCATCGGTACGACGAGTAGAGATGGAATACAACAGCAGGATAAGCTGGCTCTGTCGATAGCTCTGTGCTGCCACCATGCGTGCAGGTGGGAAGACTATGTCCATCCCCAGTATTTTCTCGATATGGTGCGTTCGACCATTATTTGGGTAAATGACCAAGACACGTGCATTCGGGTGTCGGCAGGGGTTCACGGTCGCCGAATTCAAGCTCATGGTGTCGCTGTCTGGATGGGCGACGTGCGGCATGTCCACGGATGGTGGAGCTGTCGAGAGCGTCCTGGGACTCAAGTACGCGCCGTGTTTCCATTCTCTCATGGCCGGACTGGCCCGGACTAAGATGGTGTGTCTAGCCGGGCCGACCGAACGCAATTGGGGCGGCAATGCAAGCGACTTCTTGACATGGGACGAGTGCACTACTTGCGCGAGCGAGGCGTTCGCGCTGAATTGGTGCACTACTGCGAGCAAGACGAGAGTTTGGAGAACTGCTTGTTGCTGGCATGGCAGGATCCAGAAGCCGACCAACGTAGTTAGGACATGGTTAATCGTCGTCGATGGTAATTGCGTTGGGCAAAGGACTGGGTAAACTTGCAGCTCGACTGGGCGACGACGCGTTCACAGTGGTGTCGTTCGGGAAGCACCACACTGCCACTTCAAACGACGCCATCGAACGGGGGGCAAAATTTGACTTGGATTGAGACAACAAGACGTTGTACCCTCGCGAGTTGCGTCGCACTTCATACGCAAACTTGATTCGCGGGAGAACGCATTCTCGGAGGCCGGTCGCGTCCACCTTCTTGGTCGTCGGTTGATCTAACGCAAGGACCTGCGCCCGTACAGCGGGCCATTCGTCCGGACTTTGCAGCCGTTCTACTATTTGCTCAAAGTACGTCGGGTCCGGCGACGTCTCGTTGAACCATGTCAAGTCGCTCTCTTGCGAGATGTAGATGACGATGGGCACGACCTGCCCGATCGGATCGCTCTCGTTCAAGATCGCATGGACGACATTCTTGTGGTGGAACATGGTGATGGGATTATAATTTTTGCACACAAGGATGAAGGCAATTGATTGGACAAAATAATCATAATAATGGGATACTATTGGCCATTTAGGTCAAAATTTTGTGGCAAACATTCAAATTCCCGGTTGCCCTCCATTTATTCGTCATGATGGCAGGTTCGGGCGCCGCCGGTGCCGCAACCACGACAGGTGGAACCACGACCGCGTTACAGGACGACCTTCTTCTCGTGAATGTGGGCAGTCTTCGCGGTCACGAACTTGACAAAGAAGTGAGCCTGTCCATGCTGCCGCAAGTCGAGTTCTCGGACGATGTGGTGGGACTGTTGGAAGCGGCCAAGGCTCTGCTCTTGGCGCCACTGCAGTTCTTGGAGGGTGAGGCACCCACTCCAGCCCAACGCACCCAGCTTGCCAAAGGAAGCATCCAAGTTCGCCAAGACGGAGCATCAACCCTAATGACACTCTCAGTGAACCCTACGATTCAACAGCAAATCACTCAAATGTCGGACGACTTGCACCTGTCAGAGGCAACTTGCTTGAAGTACTGGATCCTCGCCAGCCAACCCGAGAATCGAACTCTTGTCACCCACCGCAACCATTTGGCCAAGGATGCTATCCAAGACAACGTGCCCGCTGCAGCGCGTGAGTTTGTGTTGCAGGAAACTTCCGCGGTGTTGTCGGCGCTTCGCCAGCTCTGTCGTGCACGGATCGACCCATCGATTCCTTCCGAGAAAAAGGAAATCGTCATCTCATGTATGTGCGCCTCTGTCATCGTGTGGATTCGTCTGCGTCCTCCTGATCAACTTCCGCCGTCTCTCCTAGTTACAAACGACCTCCTTCGCAGCGACTTGATGTCCAAGCTTGTCCAGCTCCTGTCCACCGTCGTTCCTACCTTGATCAAGCGCCAGAGTGTGCTTACGTTTGCGCTTCAGTGGCAAAAAACCATTGCCGAAATCCTCTTCGTGCTCGGCTCATCGACCCACCTCTTGCAGACCGAAGTGAAGGCGCTGCTAACGTTGACCAAATCGTTGGCACTTCGTCTGGAATCTTCTCGCAGCCACATCGCGTCCGCGCTGCAAAGTGTCATGGGGCTTGGCTCGTTTGTTGACACGTTGCCGTTCGACGCCCAGGAAGTGGCATCCCTCCTGCACTCGTTGAGCTTTGTTCAGGCGACTGTGGCTTCTGTGCTTGTTGCTCCGGTATTGCATCCATCCTGTCTGACTGGATGCTTCATCTGTTGTAGGACTCACGCCGGGTGAATCGAAACACGGACGAATTCACGCCCACTGCTCCACAACCGTTGCTGACCGCGTCGGCCATCCAAGACCTGAATCTACTCGTGATCGAAGACAAGTGGCTTCCGTCCCCGAAACTCGGTAAAGTCCAAGGTGTCGTCGGGTTGTACTACGCACTGGCGCTGGCGCAATCGTCGCAAGGCCGCGACGCCCGCCTCGATGCATTCCACACCGAGTGCATGGCGGCGAACTGTTTTTCCTTTGCCACGCACGCCTTGTACCCGTTCGCGCCGACGTCAGACCCGCTGCTGAGCGATCCGTACTTTGCCACGTTACAACAAGTGTTTGCAAAGTATGCCGACCACTACTTTACAGGACAAGTGCCTGACCCACCGACATCGGTCGAGTCGACGCCTGCGGAAGCTGTGCTCAGCGCCACGACCACGGGCGACGGCATCCAAGATATCCTGAACTGGGCCACGTATCTGTGCGAACGCTGCCCCACCTTGGCCGTGCAATGTTGGGCTGCACCAGCTACGTTTGTGTCGAAATTGACGGCGGACATCACGTCAGGATCAGCGCGAGTCGCCTACATGCACTTCCTCGCCGTCTCCGGCAAGGGCAACCCTGCCGCCACGTACAAGCACATTAAGGACAGTCCGCCACCGATCACGTGGAAGCGCTTCTTCTCTGCGATTGAAAGCTACCGCAGACTCCTCATGCCCGACAATCCGCACATGGCGACGCTGTTTCCAGTGTCGACGAAAGCGACCGCTTCGTCGTCCCCTCCACACAAGTTTTCAAACGCTGAAGTCGATGCGCTGGACGCCATGTTTCACATTTTTCAGACGATGGTGCAGGATGACAGCATCGCGCGCTATTTTCTCGACTGGCCCGACGTAAACGTGCTCTTGCTCTTCCTCGGATTTGTGCGGTGTCCGATTCCTTCCGTGTTGAAAGGCGCTGTCATGGACACATTGTCGTCCTTCGTGACGTCGCCGCCGATGGGACAGTTAATGTGGCAGCACTTGGAGTCGGCCCAGATCTTGGTCACGGCGCCCTCGACAACGCCAAACCAAGGGATCCTGTTCGAGCTCGAGCAGATTGAAAGCATGCAGCGGAAATACCCCGCCACGTTGGGGTTTCTCACGTTGCTCGGCCAGTTGTTTCGGCACGAGTTTCCCGACGACTGCGGTGCCAACTACCGTGTGCCTGGCGCCCAACCGTACTTGGACTTTGCCGTCCACGTCTTTCTGAAAGCCGACGCCCGCGAATACGACGTCGACCTGGACAAATGGCTTCTCCTCGAACGCTGCTTGCGCCTGTTTGACCAAGTGTTGGCAGCGTATACCCCAACTGCCGCCGACTTTAAGGACGACTACATCGTGCTCAACCCGCACCTCGGTGCATCGTTCAACAAGTCAGACAAGTACTACAATAAACCCAAGTCGCTCGGGTTTATCGTGCTCACCAAGTTCCTGACGGACAGTCCCGTCCTTCGCAAACTGCTGCACCTCTTGACATCCGAGCTGTCAGTTGCCCAACTCGAACGCACCAACGACGTGGCCCAAGTCAAGTACACGACCGATCTGTGCATGCAGCTCGTCCAGGACTCGACGGCGCTCAACTCGACCCCGCTGATTGGCGTGCAGGAGAACATCGTGAACCTCGCCCTCGGCCTCCTCCATCGCGTGTTTGCGTTGGAAGACGACTTTGTCACAGCGATGCGGGCCAGCGTTTTGGAAACCGTGGTCGAACCGCTGCACCGCGTGCTCATTCGGTCGCCCCAACACGTCGTCACACTGACCAAGTACATTCGATACGCGCCGAATCCGTCGATTGCGATCCAGTCGGCCAAGATTCTGCGCCATTTGAGCTCCCACGTGCCCCCAACCCACTTGGTGCAGATATTTCAAGATCACGGCGATGACCAAGATATTCGCGATGGATACGTGTCTGTCATGATGGACGAAGCCGACGCTTCCAAGGAGGCCAAGGACGTGGCGCTTGACATCTTGCTCGACAACATCCACAAACCCGTGCCGAACATTTCGACCTTGCTGCTGCTGCCCGCGGCCGGCAGGGACGCCAACAACGTCTTGGATGCGTTGCTGCTGGTGCTAGACAACTTCAATTTTGTCCATACGCAGCCCGTCTTAAGCGAACGCGCGCATCAGTTGGTGTACAAAGTCCTGTCCACTCGTTCACTCCAGAAAATGGGACGACCCCAGCACTTGGAAGGGTTCCTGTCCCGCCAGATTCAAACGCTACCGACGCTTTGGTCGATTCAGCGCCACATGACGGCCCATCGCGACGTGCTCGCGCTGGTTCATATCCGACGGTGGCTTGTCCAAGACCTTGCGCTCGTCGTGTTTCAAACCAAGCGCGCCGCGTCGTTGGTCGCGTCTCCCGTGGCTACGCTGCTCGCATTGTTCGACGCGACTCTGTTTGTGCATGCGCCGCCGACGATGCCGCAGGACGAAGCCGGCATGAAACTGGCCGACCAGTGTACGCTCGAGCAAGACCAGCGCTTGTACATTGACGTGGTCAAGTTCCAGTCTCTGTTGCACCAATCGGGGGACACCTCGGCGACTTTGATTCAGTGGGCGTTGAGTTGGAATCGATTTTCGGAGCGCATTGCGGTCGAAGCGCAGGCGTTGGAGGCATGGACAGCGTTGGCGCAGGTCCTGGCAGTCGACCACCACCTGACAGTCAAGGACTTGTATCAAGTGTGGCAAGCGCTGCTGAACAAGGTGCAAACGAAGGATGGTGTGGCCCATTTGGTCGAGCTCGTTGCCAAGGTGACTGTCACCCTGAGCTTTCAAATTCGCGCGCACCGCGTGCACAACGCGCCGGGAGGGCTGTCGACATACCAACGCCTGGAATTAATCCAAGACACAATGCTGGTTGTCTGCCAAACGTTGCAATCCACGGGCAACCCGGCCGCCAGCCGCCGCGCCCGCAGTTGGCTGTACACATCGCTGCTGCACTTGATGCGATACGGTCAAGAAGAATCCAAACTCGACGCGCGCACCACCACAAGTCGCGAAGCGTTGAGCCACCTCGTCCTCGTGTCGCAGGAACCGACCTTGTTTGACGAGTACGTGTGGAACGAAACATTTTTGTCGACGATGTGCCGAGATGCCAGCGAAGCCGCGTCGGAACCTCTGCCCATGGGGCTGGCCATGAATGTGCTGGGCTTAATCATGAGCTGCTCGTCGAGCGGCCGCGTTGCCCTCCTTCGGCTGCTCGTCCCGGTCATGCCCCACTTGTGCAACGTGCACTTGCAACTGCGCCAGGCAAACCAGGACGAACTCGCCGACACGGTCGTATCGTTTTTTGTCCAAGTCGCCCAAACACAAGAAGGCGCGTTGACGCTGCTGCACGGCGGCGTTGTCCGCACGCTCATGCAGTGCACGACGTTTCCCGTCCAGCGTCCGCTGTGGACCCTCGACACGGACACGTGGCTCGCCGCCGAACAAACATACTACCAAAAGTGGCTTCCGGTCCTTCGCCTTCTTGGGTGCCTAGTCACTGCGCTCCCGCGCAACACGGAATGCATCCAAGCGGTGTTGATATTCCTGCACAAACACATCAAACTCGTGAGCGGCGCGCTCAACCTGGAAGTCCATGCACCTTCCCTCCAACGGCTCGTCGAAACGTCGCATGTGCTCGTCCTCCTCCGTGCAGCCTCCGGTCATGCCAAGCTGCTCGAATCGTTGCTTGGCGCACCGAAAGTCACGAAACTGACTAAAAAAATCGTTCACGTTGTGTCGTACTATGGGCAAAATCTGGGCATGTTTACGGGGTGGTGGACAGCGATTGTACCGCGCACCGTGTCGGAGCAAGAACAGGCCGATGTCGCTGGGTCCGTGGCCATGCTGCCGTCCGCCACGCTCTTTGACGAATGCAAATGGGACGCCGTGCGAATCATCCTGTGCCAAGCGACAGCATATTGCCGACTGCGCATGTTGAGCTGGGACTCGCTCCTCACGTCGAGCAAGAGTGCGTACGTGGCGATGGACGTGCTCGAGAACGCAGACCAAGAGTGGCTCGCATCGCTGGCGAGATTCGTGCATCTGTACCGCAACGACGTTGACCGGGACACTCTTCTTTTTCTCATCGAAAACAGTGCGACCGTGCTGGCTCTCCACGCCCTCCATGGCCAACACCACGCCACTGCCGCCGCCATGCTCGCCTCGCTCGGCTCGGACTTTGAGGTACGTTTTAATCCACTTTTCGACGGAGTTGATGTGTTGGAGTCCGTGCTGACTTGGGCTCGGTAGAACCGCGGCGTCGTCCACCTCGTGAGCCGCAAACTACGGGACCTCGTGTGCTTGTCGCCAGCGCAACCATAGCAACGTGGAAATTCCTTGTGTGTTTTCAATACATGTCGAGAGAGGCACTTGCAATTTGTCGGCAGAAGCCAAGCGTTTGGACGGAGCACACGCAGTCGGCAAGGCTCAAAACAGAGGCCCACGATCCTTGTCCTCGTTCGAGTTGACAACACCCCTCGTGCCCTCCTTGTCCTGGCGCGATTTCACGCTCCAAGCACGTTGACAGACGACAACGATTCCGACCTCCTAGTCGCCACTGACATGTTCCTTCTTCGCGCATCCGTCCTAGCAAGTAGGTTTTGCAGGACGCATCGGCGTGGGGACATCGCTCCGTGACACGGACATCCGCGGACGTCAGCATGTCGAGCCATGTCTTGTGCCGACACGTGGGCATGAAATGTGCGCTGTTGGGTGGGTTGGGTGTTCTGTTGTCATGATGCAAGCACGCGATGACTCATGTCCAGCCGACGTGCCGCCCACACAGGAACAACATGAACGTGTTGACCCAACAAGGGAGGGAACCGTGGAAGCCGTGGCACGGCGATCGCCAGTGTCCGCCCGAGGTCCTCTTATGCCGCGAGCACCATCGATGCGACGAAAGCAGGCTCGAGAGCGAGCTGCTCGTCCATCTTGCGCGGCGTTGGCACGCTCTAGAGTTGCGCTGTCGACGCCGGCCCCATGCACGATCTCGAGCCGTTTCTGAATGTTGGACATTGTGAAACCGCCCAAGATCTTGGGATTCTCTGTGTCGGTCCCATTTCCACTTGCAATGGACGTCGTGGTGGCGGACCTTGTGCGGCTCGTCGAGACCCCCAAGGAGTCGGCTGCAGATGCGCTGGCGGGTCTCGGCGGCATCGAAGGCGTCGCGGACAAGCTTCGTGTCCAGTTGGAAACGGGCCTGAGCGACGCCGATCAAGGCAAGGACATTGCAGAGCGCAAAGCGAGGTTTGGGACAAACTATGTCGAACCAGAAAAACCTTCGTCCATCTTGGAGCTGATGTGGGAAGCGTGGCAGGTTTGTCGGCAGTGTCATGTGGATATTTGCCCTCAGAGACACCGGTCGACGCGTAGGACTTGACCATCATGATCTTGACGGGGTCGGGAGCAGCGTCGCTGATTCTCGGCCTCACCATCGGCCACGACACGAGCGTGGACTGGATTGAAGGCGCGTCGATTTTGTTTGCCGTGCTCATCGTGGTCTTTGTCACGGCCATCAACGACTACCAAAAGGAGAAGCAATTTCAAGCGCTGAACGCCGTCAAGGAGGACGAGAAGATCAAGGTCATTCGCAACGGCGTGCCGGCCGAGGTGAGCAAGTTCAGCTTGGTCGTGGGGGACATTGTCCGCGTCGACTTGGGCGACATCATCCCGGCGGACGGGCTCGTGTTTGACGAGAACGACTTGAAGCTCGACGAAAGCGCCATGACAGGCGAGTCCGTCTTGCTCAAGAAGGACCGAAAACTCGCGCCGTTCCTGCTGTCCGGCACCAAAGTCATGGAAGGCGTCGGGAAGATGCTCGTGATTTGCGTCGGCGAGAACTCGCAGGCCGGCATCATCTCCAAGTTGATTCGAAATGCATCCGGCAAGCACGCAGAAGACAAGAAAGTCGCGACGAAAACATCCAAGCAGGACACGCCAACTCCCGTGGACGACCCAGTCGACCCCAACTACATCGCGCTCGCCACCCCACGCGGCCCGTCGACTTGTGCGACAGAACCGGACGTGGAGGAAATCGTGTCGCCTCTCCAAGGCAAGCTCGATCGTTTGACCATCCTGATCGGCAAGTTGGGCCTCGCCATGGCCGTCATTGTGTTCGTTGCCATGTCGATTCGATTCTCGGTCAAAACGTTTGCCATCGATAAGAAAGAGTGGACAAAGAGCTTCGCAGAGGAGTACCTCAACTTCCTCATCGTGGCGATCACGGTGCTCGTCGTGGCGATTCCGGAGGGGCTTCCACTAGCAGTCACCATCGCGTTGGCTTTTTCCGTCAAGAAGATGCTCAAGGACAACAACCTGGTGCGCCACCTGGACGCGTGCGAGACGATGGGCAGCGCCACGACCATTTGCTCGGACAAAACAGGCACCCTCACCACGAACCGCATGACTGTCATGGAGTGCTACCTCGGCCAGCACGAGTTTAGCTCGGCGCCGTCGCTCCGCCTCCAGGCCAGCGCCGCCACCAAGGACATTCTGTGTAGTTCGATCAGCATCAACTCGACGGCCGAGATCCTGCCGCCCAAGCAGGTCGGGGCTCAGCCCGAGCACACGGGCAACAAGACCGAGTGCGCGTTGCTCCAGTTCGCCGCCGACTTGGGCGTGTCGTACGCCGACGTGCGCAAGGCGGCGTCGATCTGCCACATGCTCACGTTCAGCAGCGCCAAGAAGCGCATGTCGGTGGTCGTGCCGCTGTCCGCGACGCGATGCCGCATCTTCACCAAGGGTGCGAGTGAGATCGTGTTGGAGCTGTGCACGTCGCAGCTCCACTTGGACGGGTCCACGGCCGCGTTCTCCGCCGCCGAGCGCAACGCCGTCAACGCCAACATCATCGACAAGTACGCGTCGCAGGCGTACCGCACGCTGTGCCTGGCGTTCCGCGACGTGGACGCATCGCCCGATCAAGTCAAGACGTGGCCCGATGAAGACGTCGAAAGGGACCTCACGTATATCTGCATCGTCGGGATTGAAGACCCCGTGCGCGAAGAAGTGCCCGAGTCGATTCGCCAGTGCAACGAAGCAGGCATTGTCGTGCGCATGGTGACTGGCGACAACATCGCGACGGCGAGGTCCATTGCGCTCAAGTGCGGCATCATCCGTCCGAACGACGGGTCGCTCGTGATGGAAGGGTCCGTGTTCCGCGCGCGGGTGCTGGACGCGAACGGAAACATCAAGCAGGACGAGTTTGACAAGATCTGGCCCATGCTCCGCGTGCTGGCCCGGTCCAGTCCCAAGGACAAGTACACGCTCGTGTCTGGCTTGATCCAGTCCAACGTGTACCCGCACGGCCCGCAGGTGGTGGCCGTGACGGGGGACGGCACGAACGACGCGCCGGCGCTCAAGAAGGCGGACGTCGGGTTCGCGATGGGAATCTGCGGCACGGCGGTCGCCAAGGACGCGTCGGACATCATCCTCATGGACGACAACTTTCGGTCCATCGTGAGCGCGGTCAAGTGGGGCCGCAACGTGTACGACTCGATCGCC